TAGGGTGTTCAAAATCGAGATTTTTCAACTTTAGGATTTTTTTGTATCGAAACTATTCATTATTGGTCGAAACGGCTCACATGTCCCTATCTTAACTTTTGATTTACCATCTACTGACATTTAATTCGAACAAATACAGGATGGTCCAAGATTCAAGAATTCTGATCACCTTCTGTTCCAATTGAATGTCAGTAGATGGCAAATCAAAAGTTAAGATAGGGACATGTAAGCTGTTTTGACACGAAAAAATCCTAAAGTTGAAAAATCTCGAAGTTGAACACCTTATATCTCTGAAATCATTCCCGCTAGACCCATACATTGATGAAACATTGATAAAATCAGCTCTTCAGGAAGAACCTAAAAATGCAATAATATACAGGGTGTCCCATTAAAAAACCCGTCATCAGCCGATATCTTGAGATTTGAACACCCTATAGATATGAAAATAATTTTAGGTGATAGTTCTCATGAAACCCAATAACTGTTGCATTTGAATTTTTTCATATATACCTGACGGTTTGGTTGATATCGAAGTTCAACACACTATTGACTCACCCTGTATATGAATCTATACTATAAGTTGTGAATTTGTTAAATAAGTTACCTGTAAAAAAACACTTTCTCTCATTTTCAATTCAAATATTAAAATATCAAACGTGAATGTCCTTCACTATTAAAATATAGTTTCGTTTTTATCCCATTACAAAAATTATTTATTACTAAAATACATCAATAAATAAGAAGATGCATGTGCTACTGATGCATAAAATTAAATAAATGATGGATGGTAAAATGACATTTTGAATATAGCCTGAGATCTGGATATGAATACCAACGTGACTCGGTAGTCGATTTTTTTCTGGAATGGTTCAATTTATGATGTGAAACATAAAAGAGCTACACTACATGGTCGGTTTGGGGCATAAATCTGGTGGAAAGCGGCGAGAGTTGCAAAATTTTGAATTTTAAAAAACTCAGGTGATTAAGTAAAGTCTTGAATTAAGTGTACCTATTTATCGTACATTCATCAACCAGCTGAACTTAACTCTTTCGAGTTTTCCCAATGTACAGTGTGTCCCCGAATTATTGACATTATCGATTTAAATTATCTAATTTGAGTTTTCAAAATTCACGTATGCTGTGGAAATTTTTGAAAAACCAATATTTCTGTTGAATAAAGTGCCGCCTACTTGGCAAATCCACCAAAAAATATAAAAAAATCCGTTTAAAATTAACACCCAGGCACCTATAATGAATTCCAAAATCATCGGCCGACTATATGATTTTTTTTAAATACATTCTGAAAATGATAGCGTTCAATAGATTGGTATATCATAGAGTTATTCATAAAATCTGAGTAATCAGCAGCAGTTATTCAGCTGGTGGAATTTGATCATTCTCAGCGTCAATTATTTTAATAACAGGCATTATCTGATATTAAATATGATATTATTGATTTATTATTGATAAGATAAGACTCTATGTTCAAAAAATAACGGAAATGAATGTGACATTCTTCCCCCCCCTGAAATAATGACAGTTCACTGAAGTCATAGTTACTGAATCACGAATATCGTTCCGTGAGGGTTCTCGTTCTCTAACGATGTAATCTTGACTTTCAAAAACTTCCACATTTTGTACTTTCAAGAATGGGCAATCTCTGATGTTCAGATAGTAAACACAAAAATATGAAGATCTAGCCCAGCATGGCTTATAAAAATGTTGTTGGTTTAGAAGACAGAGTATGAAAATTTTATCGTGACTACACAGTCCTTTACAAGAGCGAATAACGGAAAAACCATTAGAGCTAGACAATTTAAGAGACAGTACATTTTCTAGGTAAAATTGAACGGGCTTTCAGATTTCCAACTTATTTTAACCAATATTCAATGGACAAAGAAGATGCTGTAATTTAATGAAGTAACAGAGTGCCACTAGCGCACTCTATGAGCAATCACAAAATGAATTACGAATTCGTATTTCTCATTTCGAAAAACCTAGAACTTAGTGAGAATTTTCAAAATAAAATCTACTATCTGTAGTACCAATATTGTCCATTCCTATTGAATCACCCTGTATACGCCCCCCAAATCGCTCAAGCAGACTCATGCTTTCGAGTTCTAGACTTCATGAATGGAACCTCAAAAAAAATGACTTCCAGGTCACGTTGATTCTCACTCAGTCTAATACTCACAAATACTGGTAAACATGTAAATACGGTGTATATCAGAATAACTATACCTTTTCAAATTCAAATTGAGACATCAATTTCAAATTGATGAACAGATTCAAAATCAGAATGAACACAATCAAGTTGGGAATAACCAAATTCAAATTGGGACAAAATGACTAGTCACGGTATAAACATATCCAAATTCAAACTAAACAAATTCAAATTGAAACCAATCAATTTCAAATCGGAACTTTTATATACCTACAATATGGAATTGATTGATTCGGTAGGTAGCGAATCTGTTAATGATACCATACACGAAATTCCGAAAAGGATTTCAATTACCAACAACTGAAATGAATATCGAATAAACAAATATTTATAAGTATAAAGATAATTCACATGATTCCATGCTGAATCATTTCGTCAAAATTTTAATGAGATGTTTATTCTCATTTTGAAATTGATTAGTCTCAATTTGAAGTTGAAAAGGTATAGTTGAAAAGAGAGATTTATTTCCTCTGTGGAAAAACATCACATTCTAAGGATCTCTATGGAACCGCTGCCAAATCGACAATTATCATTCGCATAGAACATCTCGGGGACCAAAAAAAGCTTGCACAGCATATGGATTTCGGAAACGCAAGGAGATACAAATTCGGCTAAATGGGAAAAAATAAGTTGCGCATACTGATGGTCATACTAACAGTATTCGAAAAAGTTAATTTTTGGAATTTTTGGCTATTTGTATGACGGAAATTCGAACCTCCGACCGATCCGAGATCCCAATGCTGTGCAACCTTATCTTGGTCACACTTTATAAATCAACAAATTGATCAACTTTTGTAACATAATCATACACCCATAACAACATTAGTGTCAAACGAATATTCCTGATATAAGATTTTGTCTAATTCTTCTGAATGACGAAAAATGTCATCTCGAAAATTGATCAAAAAACGAGAATCATTTTGCCCAGGATAGTGATTTGGCACAGGTGCCGTTCGATTAACTACAATGTTTTCTCTTTCCGTTGGGACATATCATTTCGTTATCAGATAACGGTAGAAATCTGCAGCTGGTTTTCTTACTATAATAATATAAAATAAAAACTATCTGGCAATGATTCCACAGAGTTATCCCCGTCATTCGCCATTCCATTTATTTATCCATGTGTGATACACTTTTCCATGATTTTGAATGAATCGCGTTGTCTATCGTTCTTATAGTCTGAGGGGAGTATACACAATCAATTTATCAAGGTTATAAATCACACAAAAAATATATCACGTCGAAAATGTTATCAAATTGAAGGAGTTCCTAATTCATCTTTGGTTTTTGAGGTAATGGGCTTTTCCAGTATCATAAAATTTGACCCCTTTTATCGAGAAAATCGAACAACAAATGAATTATTTAATATTTAAAATGCTATTTCAATACCTCCTATACTGATACAAGATAGTGAAAGGAATGCAATGCAAGATTCGAAATTACTATATGGTAGGTGATTAGTTGATTGGTAATTCACTGCTGATCTCATTCAATTTACTGTGAACTCCAAAGTATTTCATTTGGTTCAAGATTAATTAGCTAGGATAAAATGCAGGCATCTATAACAGTTATGACGCGTTTTATAAATTTAGATTGGTTTCAGTTAAGTTGAAATTTCGTTGACTAATTGTTATAATAAACAAAATGAACAGTATAACTATATCTGAAGCACTCATTTCCGGAAAATTCAATTGCTAATCTTGCAACTATGTCAACAAGAGAAAGAGATGAAGCAACTGGCGCTAAAACAATGTTGCCAAGTTAAAAATACCTAATTCCCCGCATAACTTCACTTATTTTAATTTGTTCTTCCCCTATGGTAGATAGGTATAGGTATGTACATAATAGGTGAGTACCTAAACTTGAGAGTACTTCACTGGAAGGGATTTAATACAAAATGAAATTTCACTTACAATTTCGAATAATTCTATAACAGAAATCAACCAACTAACTAATCATGCTATATGCAATTGCAAATTTTTCATACCACGAATTTTCATGTAAGTTGTTGTTAGCTGAGTTTGCTAAAATGAAAAAATCGAGGAATGAATATCCGACTAATCATAGCTTTCTGTATAAATTGGCAACATTGTCAAGCCCATCGTGCATTTTATTGGCACCCGCAAGAATGTCGGAAATTACCAGGGCCTACTCTATCTCACCGGGCCGTAGTCTATCTCCTCTACCTCGATGCTGACGTCACACTAGTAGGTTGAGATTTCACATTATTTCATATCGATGCGTTAGTAATTGAAAGGTTATAGCTCATTCACTTTGAAAATTAGAAGCACACTCAATCGAGACAAATTGATCCCTGATTAACTACCCAACTTTCGGTGAAAAAAATGAATCATTAGGATGAACCAGTACCGATTTATGATGTGAAGAAATTCAATTTCAATGAAAATCAGGACGTTGAACTACGGAATACTATTTTTTGCCAATTTGGAATCGGTTTAAAATGAAACTGACTGAGTATGTGAAACTAGGATAATGCATCAATTATATAGTGAGAAAATTATTGAGCTACCTACAATGATTCCGAAATAACTTGCTCGCGCACTGACGTCACATGTTTCGCGGCCATGTCTGATCGTTTGAATTCGCTCGTTCTTTTTGTTGTTTTCAATAATTTTTTATAAGTACTATAAATTGATGGAGAAAAATCTCTAAAAAATATTTCAAGGTCTTCCATAGCCATATATTTCAAAGAATATTGTTGCTAGAAATGACTGGAAAGGCCCATTGGAGATTCATAATAAATACAATGCAGAATCAAGGAATCAAAATATAATTTTGAAATATATTAAATCTCACCAGTGCAAATGATTCAATTAAAATTCGCAATATACACAGGATAACTCCTATAAGTGCAGAACAATTAACCCCAGTGGTTCTTGAAATCAGCTCATGAAGTTACCTTCGAAAGTCTTCAAGTAAAGCTTGACAATTTTTATATTTCTGGAATTTTGCCAAATAATGATTCAACAAGTAATTTCTCACCAGTATGACGAAAATGCGGAGGGTTTCCTTTTGAATGGGAAGTTTCGTATACACGTCTGGCAAAATTAATTTTCCAATAGGGAAACCGTGTGCTCTATGTGCATGGGCATTTGAGCAAAGAGAACGGCAACGTTGCCATATGATTCGTATTGTGTCAGCCCCTCCTTCGTTTGCCACACGTGCCATACTCGAGTTGATGGGGCAACGACGCTTACCCATTACACGGTTTCTCTATGAGAAAATTATATTTGCCAAACGTGTATATTTATTTCGAGTTATATTCACTATAATTATGATCTCAATCATAATTCAATCACAAGTTAATACGGTAATCCTCAAATTGTAATTTGTTAGATGAGGTATTCTATTTCTAATGAATGCATGTATGGACATCATTTCTCCGACTAGCAGTGAAAAAATCTGGTGTAGGCTCAAAATTCATGAATAGAAAGTCAAAACGGAAGTCTGGTTTCCTCTCACCAACAGTATGGGCGGCATATCTTTAGTCAGCAGTTCCAACCAAGCCAAATAAAGCGGGGCCGAGATGATGTTTTTTCTGGGGATCGGTAAAGTGACGACCAACATGTCTGCGGCATTGGAATGTTCTAGAAGTAGCTCTCGCAAGCGGATATGTCTCTTCGTTTTGTCCTTGACTGCCAGCAGCTCTGCGTCAGATATTACTTCTGAAAAATTGAAATAACAAAAAAATATTATGTTCTTAAGCTTTAGGGGGATGGAATTCAAGAGCTTTGTAATTCAGAATCGACATTTTGTATAAAAAACCTGTAAAAAAAGATAGACCAGTGAGTTAGTCAGGATATGCACATGTGTACTTGTGAAGTTTATTACCCTTCTTTTCAAACATTTGGTTTATTCATTCGAGAATGAGGAAGGCTATGAATTTTCATTAAATAAGTTCGGTACTCCTCAGTTTCATGTCCATGCTGTACAGAATAGCGATCGATAAAGTGAAATAAGGTCCATGTCGTTTTTATTCACAAAATATATCAATTTTTGATTTTCGGGGCGGCAAACTGTGACGTACATTCTGAATCTAGTCTGAATATAGCTGATGATGAAGAATATGGCCAGCGAATGAAAAACGAATAAAAAACGAATAAAAAATAGAAGAAGAAAACAACTCGGTGTCTTTATTGATTATATCATGAAGAATAACGAACTAACAAAACTATAAACTGCAGTAGAAAGGCTAAGGAATAACTGCGCAAATCAAAAATATGTTCCATTTCTGTTATAATACAGTTATAAGGAATTCAAAGAACAATTTCTGGAAATCGTATTTCAACTCTGTCAATGTGGCTGTTCATAGAAATGGTGAAGGAGCCAAGTTGCTCTTTCATTTATTTTTTTCTGAAAGTGAAATTCGATCTTACGAAAAAAAAAAAAAAAATTCACAAACTTTACAGAGAGATTTTCCCACAATTCCAAGCAATGAATAATTCAACTTCAAGTGGAATAAATATTTATAATAGTCTACCCAACAGCTTAAAATCTATTAGATTCGTCACAAAATTTAAGTGTGAACTGAAGAAATATATTTTATCAATTCAACTCTCCCCTTATATCAATTAATTCTGATTTAACTGTTTATCTTTCATTGTATTGCATATTTGATTTTATTTTTTTGTTGTTGTTTCCCTCTATAAACATTGTATGTTTCTTGGGATCAATAAATGTTATTATTATTATTATTATTATTAAGTTTCCCTGGAACGAATTATCATAGAATTATTATTCGACTACCTAGTATTAAGTTTCTGATGTCTAAAATGACTATTCAAATTATTTCAATTTTCAAGACACAGCAATTTTGAATTATTAATGAAGCAGACTATGACGTACCACTTAGATCTATAAGTGACAATTGGAGATACTTCTCTATGATAAGTATCTTGACTTATTTTCTTCACGCCTATGTACCCAAAAATAAAAAAAATAAATCAAAGGTCTAACCTCAAACCTTCAACAAAAATGTAAACAAAGTACACCTCAGTATAGTGTAAATCAGGTTAACACCCACTTTTGCCAGACATATATTATCATATTTTTTTTTTTGAGAAATTAAAATATTTCTTCAACCTTTCAACAGGAATTCAAAAACGAGCTTTCAGCATCATTGTTATTTTGTATATACCCATAATGTTATAATCGTCAATTATTATGCTATTCTAATATTTATATTTCGTCGAAAATTCCCATTACATCAGGTACTCGGTTTATAATTTCGGTAATTTTGCACTTATAAATTGTCTTGATCACTACGTATTTTTTTCTGATAAAAAACGAATTTGATAATGAAAATATGAAAAAAACACTATTTATCGAGATATTCCAAGAAAAAGTTCGAAATTTCGCCTTCTTTTTCTCCCTATCTTGGATGCATTTACAGCTACTTGCTCTTCTTGTTTTGTTATTGGATACTTTATATACTCATGATGAACTTCAAGGAACATTTTGATATAGAAAATTCAATATGAAATATGATGTTTATGACGAGTTTTTCATATTTAGTGAACAATCATAACAAATCTTGTATTTTGATTGAAATCAATCAGAATACAAGATGTCAAATGTCAACAGTTTGCTTTTGAATATGGATATCACATCGTGATTTATAAATTGTCCGATGATGAGAAACGAAGGGAAAATTGTTCTAAATGCGATCCAGAAGACAGGCAAAAAACAAGGCGAAGTTTGTAACTTTATAGTGAAATTTCTTAATTAATAATGGTTTTTTCTGTGACGGGAAAAAAGTTTGGCATTTCATCTCTGTTGGCAGGTTATAAAAAGTCACTTTTCATAAATTACTTTTTTCCCTACAACGCAGGTGTCCCTACTGTTAAAAACTTAAAATTTCACGTCGATAATTTTCAGATTTCAAAATAATGTAATATCTTCTCAATATTGATTCGTCCTTTCTTCTGTCACAGAAAAAAATAGTGTATTATACACGGGAAAAATATTAGATTTTGGCTCACAGTTTTTTGTCTCCCTCCGCTACGCGTCGGGAGATAAGCTAAAATCTACTACTTTTTTCCCTTGTATAATAAATGACAATCACATTTTCATTATCAAATGCGCGTTTTTTAGACAAAAATACGTAAGTAACAAAAAACATTTTCGAAAAACAAATCCCATCGCATGATGAGTGCAAAATTACCATAATTTCAAGAGATAATCTAATATCCACCCATATATTATCTACTATTTGTTGAAACGTCATTTCATGGCGTGAAAGATCTGGCTGATGGCCGACCCTGGAGGTAAAACATTGGAAGAGAACCTCACTTTTCTTTTTTTTCTTTTTACATGCAAAGGACTGAAATAGTTTTTCACAATTATTTTAGCATAGGAATCGTGTTTTTCGGCTATTCATTGATTCGCGCATGCCACCACATTGTGCACATTGTGCTATTGTACAATGCACAAAAAATGCAGAAAGATACGTAGGAATCCGATTTTTCAGGTAGGTACATTGACATATAGGTTTCATTTTGACGATTTGTCATTTCTCACTGGAATTCCTTCTGCAATAGGAGCTAATAGAAATACTCCTGGAAGGCAAGAAGATTGGATTCATGCAATCAAACGGGAGGACTGGTCTGACATACTGACGAAATATGATCGTGTGTGTTGACATTTCAACTCTAGTAGCAATATTATAGCTTCTATTGCAGAAGGAATTCTAATGAGAAATAACAAAATTTCATAATGAAAACTATGTGAGATCACTATTTACCTGAAAAATCATATTCCTTCATCTCTTGCTGCATTTTTTGTGCATTGTACAACAGCACAATGTGATGGCATGCTTGAATTAATGAATAGCCGAAAAAACAAGATTCGTATGCCAAAATATTGTGAAAAACTATTTCAATCCTTTGTAAACAATTAAGGAACGTGGGGTTGTGTTTCAATGTTTTACAGAAGAGTGAAGTTGTGATTAAATGTTGTACCTCCACTTTCCTCGTGCACGCGACCTATTGCTATTGAAATCTGTACTGGCGTAAAACGCCTCGAAATTTTAGCTGTGCGTACATGGCTTTCTCAAGTAGTACGTCATAAAAATGGTGGAGGAACAGAAATTATCTTCACAATTTTTTTCTGAATTGAAATTTTATCTCATGAAAAAAATATGTAGGTCAATGAATTCTCATAATCTATACAGATGAATGAAAATTTGAATGTTGGAAATTTGCTCCTTATGATTATTGAATAGCTAATTGAGTTCTTACCAGACTCGTTATTTGTCCCATTTCTACTCCTGAATTCCGCCATCAGTGACTCGAAATAGGTTTGGGTCTGTTCTTGAGGTTTGGCTGTTATGTCAGGTATTACTTGTAGATCGGCATAATCGATCCTGAATTTGGCTAGCAGACTGGCCATGTTCCGATGTTCCAGCTCCAGTTCATCTCTTTTGTTGGCCAATGCGAATACTCTCAATTTACAACTGCTCCAGTTTCTTCTTGTGCTGATTATGTATGGCAAAAGTAGGGTTAGACCTAGACAAAAAAATGAATGGCTAGTAATTAAATTCCCATAAACTCGTGAAATATCCGACCTCCATCATCATAAAGCCACCAAACATCTATAGTGCCACCTTTCCTCTGTTTTCTCTGGAAATAAAATAATTCTGACGAGATCTCTTTGGAATCAAATTCAGTGTCCGCTGCAGTTTCTCCAGTAGATTCAGCTAGAGATTTAGTATTCTTTGGTCTGTCTTCAGGACATGGAATGTCACTGACAACTTCTTTGTTGTTGGATTGCTGAGATTTATCACTACTGCTACTAGCTAAAATAAAATACAAGGTCTTCACTTCCGTTCTATGGTATCCAGCTGTTTTTCCGTCGTTTAATTATTATTGTTCTCTTGAACAATATACATAAAATGTATTTCAAATTTCAGATAGGTACTCAGCAACTTGGACACCATTTGTATGACTTATACGCACAATTATATCTTACCAAGTGAAATTTGACTGTAAGATTTGGTACTCAACAAATACTCCGGGCTCTTAGTGCTTTTCTTGTCATCGTCATTGATGAGTGTCATGTCAAAACCTTGCTGAAGCCTGATGATACCGATACCCATATGTAAATCAAAAGCATTGCTAGAACAATAACATCCTATCAGTCATATTAATAAATAATTAAGAAATTGGGATTCTATACCATTAGGGACAATATCTCATATTGAGAAGCATATTCAAATATACAGTCTAGATACCTATAATGGAATGAAATCCGTATCTCCATGACAGAAATATATTTTGAAAAATTCTCGGACATGTCGATTCTTGGTTTGGAAAACTACTTAACAACCACTCAGTTCATAATAATTCATAAATCAATTCACATAATTAAATTGCAGTCGCATAAGTAACAGCCTACCAGTTTAAAACTTGAAATTCCACATTGATTATTTTCATTTTCAACTAGCCATTAAATTTTCACCCACCAGCGCATGCATCTTACAAAATCATAAATAAAAAAGCATTTCAGAGAAAATCACGAGTCCGATAGGTTTTTTTTTTCCTATTTTTGACAATCTTTTTTTTAATCCTTTCGAGCGCACGAAAGGGAACCCTTGAATTTTGTGTGACCTTTTCATATTCAATTTGCTTAGGTGTAATCATTGTTTAATAAAATAACTATGAATACATAGTCTTCATTTCACACTTTAATGGTAATAAGGATGAAAAACTGAACTACTATAGTTGGACGTGAATTAAGAATAAAAATCACAATCCTAACCTAGTAGCTAATAATAAAGACTATATAGTAGTGTTTATCGTTTATGATTGCATGAACTTCCTGAAATATGTGTGAGTAAATATGGATTTCAATGATCAATCTGATTTCCCCTCTGGAATTGAACATCAACAGTTTTGAGACAGTCTAAGAGCATGAATCTATAGTGATAGTGGTATACCATCACTCAGTATCTTCGTCAGGTGATATACTGGTACGTACTGGGTGATTCACCATAAATGTCCCCCCCTCTAGCTCACTCATTTTTTAACCGTTTTTAAAATTTGAAAGATGATCTAAAATGATTTTTCAGAATTTTTTTCCCGTTGCATCAGAAAATACAGGGTGCTCGGATCAAACGATCTACAGAGTACTAATTGATTTTTTTAAATGGAACGCCCTGTATTTCATTGTATTTTTAGATTCTTCCTGAAGAGCTGATTTCATCAATGTATCACACTTGGGGTCTAGCGGGAATGATTACAGAGATATAGGGTTTTCAAAATCGAGACTTTTCAACTTTAGGATTTTTTTGTGCCGAAACTATTCATTATTGGTCAAAACGGCTCCTATGTTCCCATCTCAACTTATTATTTACTATCTAGTGACATTTAATTGGAACATTTACAGGGTGGTTCAAGATTCAGAATTCTGGTCACCCTGTATCTGTTCCAATTATTAAATGTCAGTAGATGGCAAATCAAAAGTTTCGTCACAAAAAAATCCTAAAGTTGAAAAATCTCGATTTTGAACACCCTATATCTCTGTAATCAGTCCCGCTAGACCCCAAGTGTGATACATTGAACAAATCAGCTCTCCAGGGAGAATCTAAAAATACAATGAAAAAAAAATAGGGTGTTCGATTTAAAAAAATCAAATAGTACCCTGTAGATCGTTTGTTCCGAGCACCCTGTATTTTCTGATCTAGCGGAAAAAAACTTTATCGAAAATCATTCAAGATGATATTTCAAATCTTAAAATCGGTTCAAAAATAACTGAGCTAGAGGGGGGGACATTTACGGTGAATCACCCTGTATCAGTATATCACCTGACGAAGCTAATGTGTTAGCGAAACATGTCGTGTGTTTGAGAATTTTGTGGAAATCTTATCGTTTGTGAAGTTTCTACATTTAACATCATGTATATTTTTGAATTGACTGTGTCTTGATGTGGATTCGTAAGAGCTATGAATATAGGATTCTTAAGAACACATGTTTTGGAGATACATGATTCGTCATACGGTTATAAGCTACTAAACTTGATCAACCTGTATATAGTAACATCTTACTGCAAAACTTCGAAATATTGATCGAGATCTTCTCTGGAACACGTCTGCCAATCGGTTTTGTAGCCCATCAGAAGTATATTTGGTCTCAGTTTTCCTATTCCGCAAGCTTTCAAAAGAGCTTTGCAACCTTCTCCGAAGCTCATGCCGTCAACTTGCGTGTAAAATGCCTTCAATTTATGGGCCTTCAACCAGCCGATCGCTTTGTAGTTGAAAACGTTTCTTATCCTTTGAGGTAGCGGAGCCTGTGGGAAGAAAATAATGAAAATCGATGACCCAGACCAATATATGCACCCTGTATCTTCGATGTTATTTTGGTAACCTTTATATTAATCATCAAACTACTTTTGTAACAATTAACCACACTAAGGTGACTTAGTGACAAGTTGATATTATTTGGTTCAATTAGAGTAGGTAGGTACAGGTACAGCAAACTGTACTTGTATATCCATTCTTTTGTTAAATGATGGCGTATTGGCCATAATACAAGGTTAATTATAAGTTAGTATAACCCTAATTTTAAAACTCCTCGTGAAATAATTTAGTAGCTAAATTCTTTCCAAATACCCGTTTTTGTTGAGAACCATTCCTTTCCTACACACACCGTCTCACTCTTGAAAATGAACCAGAGCTTTCAAAGACATGAAACAAAAATCACAATGGAATGGTTCTCAACAAGAATTGGTATTTTGATATAATCAGCAGGCTACAGAGTGATTTAAAATTTTAATTAACCCAGTATAATGAGTAATACGTTAGCACTGATAGGGATGCATTAAAATTACATTGTAATCAAACCACTGCTGGCCAGTCGAATCGCATGACCACTGATAAACAAAGATACCAACACCAATCACTACAAACGTATGAAGGCTACTTTGATTGGCGTATTCAGAATTTAATTGAGAAAAGAACAAGCAATCCGAGGCGGTGTTCCTATTTTACCTTCCCATTCCACCCAACTTGATATTCTTCCAAGTATTAATGAGTGTATTCTTTCCTATCCTAGACTAAATATGATAAATCATAACATAAGTAGTAAGTTTTCAACACGACCATCACTTAAACAGTCTAAGATAACTCAAACTAGTAAGAGATACAGTTTCTTTCCAATGATGATAATTTGAATCTAATGGCGCCAATGCATGTTGAAATCTATCTTGGTCAATTTAGAATTACGAAAAATGAAAAGTGCAATTTTTGGTAATTCAACAGATATTAAACTACTCAACACTAATTTCGTCGCACACCAAAATGTCGCTTCTGTTATAATGTGAATAACTGTTTTCAGTTTGGAACAATTTGAATTTGGTTCACACTGTTCGATAGCCCAGTCCTTCAGCTATAATCTCGTACTTCATTGAAACATAAGGGTATTCACATAAAATCTCTACATGGTGTTTTCCGACACTGTGCGAAATTTCGGAATATTCAAAAGGCTCTCAAATGGTGAAAAAAATGTTTTTCACAACTTCGACAACAGAGGCATGAAGATGATCTCATTACCTCGAGATATTTCGCGATTCAACTTCCAATCTCTCTTATTTACAGGGTGATCTCAAAAAATCAACTTTTTGGTTTTGCAGCCATAACTTTTTTTTACGTCAACCGATTTTGGAAATCTTAGGCTCATTTTGAAGATAAAACTTCAGATGGAGAGATCTGAATATCAGAATTGACTCAAGATGGCTATCAGAGATCTAGAGTTTTCTTGAAAGTGACCCAAATCTGGAACGCCCTTCGAATCTCGATTTGGAGGAGAATTGAATGAAAATCAACTTGTTCTCGGAAAAACAATTCATTCTGGATGCGTCCATATTTTCCTCGCTCTCAGTAGTCAAGAAAGTGCGTGAGAAGACAAAATTGAAACATGTTCTTGCAGAAACATCAGATCATTTCTCCTCTGTAATGCATGGCGCGTAACCAACGTTACAAGAATCATAGTAAGTGACTGACAAGTCAGGTTTGACGTCGTTTGCGAATCATAAACAGATTCCGATAGTTTCGATGCCGCATCTAACGCGAATGTGGGTGACAACTTTGTTCTCGTTGATGACAATGCGAGACCGCATAGGGTTGTTGGTACCTGTTGGTACATCCTTTATGATGAGCCTTGGCTGGTCGGGTTTGTCAGTCCATTGTGATTCTTGTAACGTTGGTTACGGGCCATGCATTACAGATGAGAAATGGTCTGATGTTTTTGCAAGAACATGTTTCAATTGTGTTTTCTCACGCACAATTCTTGACTACTGAGAGCGAGGAAAATATGGACGCATCCAGAATGAATTGTTTTTCCGAGAACAAGTTGATTTTCATTCAATTCTCCTCCCAACCGAGATTCGGAGGGCGTTCCAGATTTGGGTCACTTTCAAGAAAACTCTAGATCTCTGATAGCCATCTTGAGTCAATTCTGATATCCAGATCTCTTCATCTGAAGTTTTATCTTCAAAATGAGCCCAAGATTTCTAAAATCGGTTGACGTAGAAAAAAGTTATGGCTGCAAAACCAAAAAGTAAATTTTTTGAGATCACTCTGTAAATAAGAGAGATAGGAAGTTGATTCGCGAAACATCTCGAGGTAATGAGATCATCTTCATGCCTCTGTTGTCGAAGTTGAGAAAAAACAATTTTCCACCATTTGAGAGCCTTTTGAATATTCCAAAATTTTGCACAGTGTCGGAAAACACCATGTAGACATTTTATGTGAATAGCCTCATGTTTCAATGAAATACGAGATTATAGCTGAAGGACTGGGCTATCGAACAGTGTGAACCAAATTCAAATTGTTCTAAACTGAAAAAAGTTATTCACATTATAACAGGGGCGACATTTTGGTGTGCGACGAAATTAGTGTTGAGTAGTTTATTATGCTCTCCAAGTGTCAAGAGATTTCGCCGATATCGAAGACTCACGACCAGAGTCGTTGAACTCGTGCCAATTGTAAGAAAAGTAAAAAAAATGAGAATTTTAATTTGACCAAATATCAACTTGTTGAAGGAGTCAACATAAACAATTGTTGTGAAATATCGCCAGAGGTGGTTCGATTCCTACAAGAATCGATAAAATACCACATATTAAATTCAATCAAATAATGATGATACATCTTGGCCCGTCTAATAGGTATCACTAAAGACGATTATTCCAATACATCAAATTGTTCATACCGTGTTTATGTGGCCGCAAACTAGCATCGACAAATTTTTCGTCAACAAATAGGCAAAATCTACCAGGGCCGGCCTAGCACCAGGCATTCCAGACAACACCAAAATTTGTGGTCTATAATTTTTCACATGTTCTTCGACGGTGTTCAATTGATGCACTGCTTGTAATGCGTTTTTGTACATCTGTGCCTGTGTTGTTGATCCCCAATTGACAGCTAAAAAACGATTCAAATCAACACCAAAGAATAATGATGAATACAACAGTAGCAAACGATTAATGAAGCATGTATTTATGATTGTAGTCTTAGAGTGATTTTACCTGGTTTCCTGTAGGATACTATTAGATACAGTGCTAAGACCACAGCTAATGTAACCAAAGCTGTAATCCAAGATATAAGAAACATGACTATGACGCAAACTATTGACCCGATGAGGCTCAACCACATATTGTAGTACTAAAACATAAATGTTGAGTATATATTTCTCGAAAAATATAGTCATGATACCTTGAATGTGGGTCGCCATCCAACTGGTTTAGCTAGGGATGCGTGAAATGTTGAGAAGTTGATTAAAGTATATGCAGCCAGAAAGAAGTTAGAGATGAGAGGTGCTATTAAATTCAGTTCACCTAAAAAAAAAAACAAGATAATGTGTTTATTAATGACGTCATAAGGTGTCAGGTTGATGATAATAATTATCCATTACCCAGAAATCCAAAAGTATGCATACCTATCAGAATGAAAGTGACAGCAATTATAAACGTCAAAACGTATCCCCTGATTGGTTCATTGTTGTTTCCATAACCTTTGGCGAACCATTCGAGGCCAGGGTACAATTTATCTTTGCATAGGGCCTGGAAAACTTTAGGAGCTGAAACCAGAGACGCCAACGCTGACGATAGGGTTGCTGCGAAGCAACCCGCATAGATGATGGGTCCTACCCAGGACACCAACTCAACAACCTAGAAATAAACCATTGTAATGAAAATTCACATAGTATGAAGACAATTTCAACTTCGAGTGAGTTATTTTTTTCACTGCATTGTGTTTTGGTTCTAATATCATTTAATTATTGTCAAGGACAATAAACTGAGTGACTGATTTTTTAGTGGAGGCACCTGTCTTATACAGAGTATATATTCATGAATTAACGCGATCTATACAGGGTCATGCCGATTTCATAGGGACATTATTGCTATTTCCTAAACGGTGAGAGATAGGAAGTTGATTAAATCAGACAAAACTTGCTAGATTTAAACCTCTTTAATATGACGATTTACAATCTGAGAAAACTTCAGGCATTTCTGAAGTATGTTGCAAGAATTAAAATTCAAAATTTTGCATTTTCAAGTAATAATCATGTCAAAGGAATGTTTTATCTTCATTAGTTCCAGCGATTCACCATGCAATTTTAGATTTTCTTGTGGGCGCCATATTTTTTTAATCATTGAATTGGGCTAAAAATTACCTTTACAGACAATGATATAAGATATCGACATATCACATGAAATATCGCCAAAAATAGGGAAAACATATACAAATGTGGTAGGCCATGATAATGAGTTCAAATTAGGAAAATCTCGTCCAATCTGATCAACTTCCTATCTCTTACCGTTTAGGAAATAGCAATACTGTCCCTTGAAATCGGTGGGACCCTGTATGGAAATTCATTTGGACGGTGCAGGAAACATGGATAATCCAACAATATTTTTTTTTTCCCACGGGAATATAGTTAGTACTTCTTTACGGGATATATATCACATATACAGTATGATGCAAATGTATGGAATAAATTCATTATTTCAGAAATGGGCGACATTTGAAGAAATTCCAAAAACACGTGAGTTTTAATTTTTGAAACCTCATCTGATGACATTCATATGAGAGATGTTACGTCACCGGTGTTGGAGTAATGACGTAATGGACGGTTTTTTTAAATACAAACAGGGGTCATGTGACACCTCGTTTGAAAGGTCTACTGATCGTCCATCCAATAGTCAAAATTTTGCAAAAGAAGATTGAAATCAAAATGGATTATCATTTGGTTAACTGAATCTTGCAGAGATCTTCTACTGAGAATTGAACATCGAAGGGTCGTCTAGTTGAAAAAATACATTGATAAAAAAGTTCTGAACTCTACTTTTTGGATTTGTTTCGGAAGTCGTCTTGTTTTGAAACGAATTTATTCCATACATTTGCATCATACTGTGTATAGACAGGGTGTTGACAAATAAGTATCACAACGGAGAACTGTAGATTCCTCATAACAAAAGAAACATTTGTTTCCTCTTCAAACTTTTTCTCCGGGCTTCCGTTTTCAAGATACAGGGCGTCAAAAAATAAAAAATGTGCAGTTTAATTAAACACACTTTACAACACTTAATAAACTTGACAACTTGAAAACCAGCATCGAGACCAGCATACTCAAGAACCTGACATTTGATTGAACATATTATTTTATTAGACAGTTCTGAGGTGTTTATTTCCAGTGGATTTTTAGATGATTCTTGGAGATACCATCAGGATTTTGTATGTTATAAAGAGCAATTTTTCGCGGAAACTGTTCACTTTAGAGCATTGAATTGAGAGATAGAGAGAAGCCCGGAGGAAAATTTCGAAAGGAAAAAAATGTTTTTCATGAGGAATCTACAGTTTTTCGTTGTGACACTCATTTGTTGACGTATACACTGTTGATGGTTTTTGTTGTGCTATAGGTACTTCCAAAAACTAGGCCAACAACACCGTCTCCGAGAAAGAACTGCAAGTCCTTTTATCTTCCATTCGACTTCGCGGTTACGTGAATTACTAAACAACCACTAAATTCGCAAATTTCAAAATCAAATCACATAATTAGGCTGACAGATATTTGATTACTTCAAAAGAATGATTAACATGTCTGCAAAATGGTGTCTGCAATAACGCAGGTGTCATTCCTGTTAAAAACTTAAAATTTCACGTCGATAATTTTCTGATTTGCAGGCATCTTCATCATCTTTTGAAGTAATCAAATATCTGTCAATCTAATTCTGTGGTTTGATTTTTAAAATCGCGAATTTAGTGGTTGTTTAGTAATTCACGTAACCCAGAAGTCGAATGGAAGATGAAAGGACTTGCAGTTCTTTCTCGGAGACGGTATTATTGACTCATTTTTCGGAACTATAGCACAACAAAAGCAATCAACAGTGTATACATATTACATACGCATGCGCATCTGAAATGAAATTGTAATTGGTATCATTTTCTGACTGCAAGCTAGAGTTTATAATAATATAATATCTATGTTGTGAAGTGAGCTCTGCTATCCATGCAAAATACTTTATTCTCAACTGGAATATACTGTGGTGTTCTTAATCTATCGTTCGGGAAAACATATCTGCATATAATCTCGAATTTCAATTGACAATCAGTGAACAAATTTGAGGCACGATTGTTTTCAATACAAAGTAGATTAACCTCACCTGGAAATTATTATGTAGTCCAAAATGACATTCATAAGGGGCACAATGATGCCAACTGCCATTGACATAGTCTGTGACATTACCAGTCGCATCTCTGAGAACAGTACATCCGGCCACGATTGCCATAAGAATGTAGGATAATGTGGTCAAGAGAATGGAAAGCAGGGTACCTTTCGGTATTGCAGTTTGAGGATCCTATAAAATTTAAAATAGGTTAGGTCGTTATGGATTTTTGTCTATCTCTATTTGTTGAACCTTAAGATCCCCAGATATATTAGCTCCAGCCAGTATGCCAGTAGCAGCTGGGAAGAAAATTGCGAAGACGCTGAAAAAAGTCTGTGGACTGCCCTCAAAGTCTCTGTAGTCAGGAAAAAGGTTTTCGTGTGCTAAAGTAGCTGCAAAAGAAATTGAGTGTTTTTGCTAATATAGGTACCTACTGTCTCTAAAGCGATTTCAAAAATATATTACCATTGTACCCCAAATAACCCTTAGCTTTAGCGTCTTCACTTCTTGGACCAATGAAGCTACCGATGAAGAAGTCTGCAATGGCAACTAATAAAATAACCAACAATCCTAATTGTGCCTAGAAATAAAAAAAAAATAAGTAGCTGAATGTAAAATGTAATGTTATTGTCTGATATTACACAGGATATAATCCGTACAATTGAAATTGAATTGAAATTGGAATTCTAATGACTATTCTGAAATAAAAGTGATTATTGTGGAATGCGAATGGGCCTGTATCAGTGAAAAAATGTATTCTATCATTTCGATCAATTTTGGACTTCGTCAACCGATATTCAATTCATTTTCAGTTTCTGAAAGATCGTTCCATTGACTATCGAATGAATATGGAGGTGATTACTGCACCTCTTCAGAATCAAAAGCTTCCCGGTTAGAATTTTTTTTATAACATATCGCACCATCTGTTTTCTTTAACATAATATGTTTACCTTTGCCTCCCACTCCATGCCAAAAACTACGATCACGGTTAATATAACGATGGTTACACTACCGATAATCCGTATGTCATGTACCGCTCCATCGACGATAGTTATATTGTAAACTTCCAAAAGGTCTTGTAACGATTCACCAAAACCGACGACGTACATAGCGCATGCTACTGCGTTAGCTAGGGAGAAAATCAGTCCTATCGATCCTCCGAATTCTGGGCCCAAACTCCGAGATATCATGTAGTAGGTGCCACCTAAAAATAACGATTTATACACATCAACTCTGGCCATCGACCTTACGAGAGGTCCTTCAGTCCATGTGTGTTCTATGTAGGCTTTGTTTTTGACTCCATTTGCCACCTTGTTTTTTTTCTCTTTGATCCCACATAATATATGTTCTCAAGTATGTATTTGTTATCAATTTGTTGATCCATTATACAGGGTGTATCTAAATAACACCGAAAAAATTTAAGGGGTGTTTCCTTGTGACATTCTAGCAAATAAAGTATGAACATATGTCCTAACTTGCTCTGTTTTTGAGGTACAGGATGTTGAAGTTGAAAGTATTAATTGTTATTATTCATAACCTCCCTGTATAAGCTTTCATGGTGCGAAAATTGAGTATGGATGGAGACTGAGAAAGCCCCAAAATTTCAAAACGATTCTAATTGGGGTTATTGAGTAATCTCAATGGAAGTCTTGAAAACACCTACATTAACAGTTTCAATCTTCTCCTGAAGATGCTAACATAGTTAGCGAAACACGTGTCGATCGAGGCGTTAAAAAATCGGTTTGGTTAGTGGTAAAACAGTGTAGTGTATTATCTTGGCAAAGGTTCCAGTCTTCGATAAATATTACCTGTGATACTGTATACTCAAAAATTGATATCTCAGAAACGAAACATAAAAAATTCAAACACTTTCTGCATATGATGGTCAACATATTCAAAATAGTGTGAGTAAAATGAGATCCAACTCAACGGAACTGTTTTCGAGATATTCAATTGAAACGTGTTAAATAATCTTCAACAAAATCTAACACGTCCTGTATCTGAATGAAAGGCAATATTGAACAACTGAATTCGCTAGTGAGTTACGTCAGCTTTCATTTAATCAACAGTATCAATCAATCCCTTTCTTTGTGATCAAAAACAAGCTGTCAATTGTTTTCAAAAAAGGGTATAACACAATATTCTGAAAATTCATATTTCGAACAGAGATAGTTATCAAGAATCAAAACACGTTTTCGAAGCCTATAATAGACTAAAACTTTTATGCCCCACCAAAATATAGCTTGTTGGTTTTGGAATAGTGCTCGAATTTTTATCCGAAAAATGAATTTTTTGACCGTGCCTCGTATACAACCTGATTCACTATAATTTATGTGATCATAACTAGATATGTATTTGAGTTTCGATCAATACATTTTCTAGATTATTTTGTCTAATTTATACTAAAAATACAGTTTTTTTCTTTGTCATACGATACGACGTTTTCACGAACTTTGTCGGCTTATATCTCAGAAACTAAACATACAAAACTTTTCAAACTTTCATATTTTTTTAATGAGCCATCCCACAAATCACGACCGAGAGCCAATTTCCCGTGTTTTCGTGCGGGGTCCTTTGGAGTCAAATAGAATTTTTATTGTTTCCTCAAAAACTAAGCTAGATACAAAAATCACACAGAGAATAAGAAATTTGTTATTTCATTAGTTCAATCTATTAAAAATATAAAACTCAGAAAAACCGGTGGTGTACAATGACATTCACCATGCATATCGATAAATTTACCCACTGTGATGCCACTGGAAATATTATTTCGAATCTAATTGCACTAGAAGAAGCTCCATCTTACTATTAACAAAACCACAACGTTTTATAAAAATTGATGAAATGACAATTGAGAAATGAACAGAAAAAAAAATGTTTCATGGAAATATTAATACCCAGTATCTGGAAAACGAAGCAAGTTAGGACAAATGATTAAATGAACTTTATTTCCTAAAATATCCCAAGGAATCACCCCTTGATTTTTTTCGGTGTCATTTGGACCCACCCTGTATATCATTGCATTTTCGAATTTAGCATCATTTTCTGAATCCAATGATCCCACATAAGTGACATTTCAAACTTCAATATTGATTTGGATTTCATTTTTGATCTTCCATCGAAATCGACTCATAGAGTCTTATGTACTCATATCGTCAGGTGTAATGCTAAAAAAAAGTATCCTGCCAAAAATGTCAAATTTCTTGATTTATGACGAATTTAAATTCATCAAAATTGGTTGGTGTACCTTGATCCTGTTACAACCCTATATAGGGTGTCCCATTTTCGATGTCTTTACGGAATATTTCATTTGTGTCTAATGATAGACATTGTTTACTTTTTTGTGAAACTCAAGATAGGTACCGCAAACAAAATTTTCATAATCCGATTCATTTTTGGGGTACAAGGAGAATTTGAAAATATCATATTTTGAGACCCCCTGTATCTCCGCTATCTTTTAACTCATAGGAAAAGTGGAAACTCTCTAAGGCGCTCGTACAATTTTTTATGTAGAATCCAGTGGCGTACTCAAATTCTTGAAATGAGCTGTTATTATTTATATATAACCCAAAGTTGAGTTTTTTATATAGTTATACAGGGTATATTATAAACTAGATTTACATGATAATAACTTGAACAAACCTCCTTTTATAACTCCATTCGTACTTATAGCTGCCATCGATACCGATGTAATTGTTGTCACTACCGTCGTTGTTAGTATCAAAAGGATTGACTGACCTGAAAAATATACACTATCTAAATATTCAAATGATCCATTAAATTAAGGAACTTGATGATTTTGGAGAAAGATGGAAAATCTCATCTGATTGCTATATTTTTTCAATACTGTCATTCGATAGTAGACACCTTGAGGCTCCTTAGAGTATATAGTGCAATGGAATTTTCAACAGTAAATACACAAGAGCTTTTTCATCGGATGAATTCCTCTTCCTAACGAAAAACATTCACCAACGAAAAACATTTACCAATCAGTGATTTCACAAGAAAAACAAACATGAAAAAATTGCGAGAACGTACGTCAAAATGTGACGTTTTCGTTGATCCAACCAATAGCAATGCGTAATTCTAGCCAATCATTCGGTATTATACTGATAAAATTGCATGATCCTTGATGAATCTTTGTCAAAATCGATCTGACTCACCAGTGTCCGCCATCTTGTTTCCTTCGACCTATCATATGTGTAAGTAACAATAAAATCAATTATCAATTCTCCGAGAAAACAAAACGTAACATTTTCAATCGTCGAAAAAAATAATCTTCCCAAATACTACACGTCCCTCAAATTTTATCCGATAATTTTTTATTTTCATCACTCAAACTATTTTATTCGAGGAAAAATCATTAAAACAAACCAAATTAGATAAAATCACTCGTTCTACGGACTCCTGATTTTATCAATCCGTTTGTTTCCATCTCATTGCCAAATAAAGAAGTTCTCGTGGAAAATTAAAAGAAATTATCTATAAAATTTGAAGGACTCGTGGTATTACCTTCAATAAGAAAGGTGCATCTTTTTTTATCGAGGTCAGAATGACTCACGCCATCGTCACATAGCGTTTTCTGTTGATAGTTTATCATATGTAATACCACAAGTGATATTATTTTGCCAAAAATATTCGGCGATTGTTACGACAGCTTGTTGCCTAATAATTTTGCGAATGATTATTATTTATCAAAACTTTCGAGTCGTAGGCGAGAAGTTTTGAATGAATGTCATGAGCGAAATTAAAGCAGCAAGCTGGAGTATGTCAATCGACGAATATTTCCGGGAGAAATAGCATCACGAGTTGCATTCGTATGAATATTTCATGATTGAGACAATGAATGAGATCCTCGCGAGAGTTGCGCACACTGCATCCATCATTATGGCTTCCAACATAATTGACGTTATAAACGGCAAACATTTTATCGCTGAAAAACGAGGTTGTTTGGTCACGTGTGAGCCAATTCGGCTTCTGTTTTGGTTGAGCAAGTCTGATGAATTTCAGTAAACAGAAAATATCGCTGGTATACAGGAAAATCCTTAAAAATGGACGATTCTGATTGGTCCTCGAGAACAAGAGTGGAATAGTCAGTGAAAAAAAGATTTGTCGAATGTTCGATAAGAAATAACATTGCTAATCTACTAATACAAATTCTGGTGAAATCATTTCAATAACCAGGAATTCTAATCAAAACATTTGAGCAATCAAAGTGAAAACTGAACAGATGGATACACCATGCATTGCTACAATCAAAACAAGTATTCTCTTATTGACAGTAATGAAATATAGTTATTTATTATACAAGGGAAAAAAGTAGTAGATTTTAGCTCCAGGTTCTGTTGTCTCCCGACGCGTAGCGGAGGGAGACAAAAAACCGTGAGCTAAAATCTAATATTTTTCCCGTGTATAACACACTATTTTTTTCTGTGACAGAAGGAAGGACGAATCAATATTGAGAAGATATTACATTATTTCGAAATCTGAAAATTAGCGACGTGAAATTTCAAGTTTTTAACAGTAGGGACACCTGCGTTTTATAGACATCTTTATCATTCTTTTGAAGTAATCAAATATCTGATGTCACTTCTGTCAGTTCAATTCTGTGATTTGATTTTGAAAAATTGCGAATTCAGTAGTTGTTTAGTAATATACGAAACCGCGAAGTCGAATGGAAGATAAAAGGACTTGCAGTTCTTTCTCGGAGACGGTATTATTGACTCATTTTTCGGAACTATAGCACAACAAAAGCCATTAACAGAGTATATATATATATATGTGATATATATCCGGGAAAGAAGTACTCACTTTTTTCCCACGGGAAAAAAGTAATTCATGAAAAGTGACATTTTATAACCTGCCAACAGAGATGAAATGCCAAACTTTTTTCCCGTCACAGAAAAAACAATATATCATTATTTTTTGTTCTGATTTCGGGTTAGTAAGGTAACATTTTATGTAAACTGCTCAACACATGAAAGGTGAAATAGCATTTTTTCCATCAAATTTGAATCATCATAACTTTCGATATCCTTAACCGATTTTCAATTATTTTCCAGATTCTGAAATCTCGTTTCATTGACTATCGAACCTATGGATATGACTATTTCATCTTTTTCGGATGAGATTCTACAGGATGATAATCAAAGCTGCGCATTTTTCCAAAAATTTCAAACGCCTCCCGTTTGGACATTTTTTTTTTTTTTTGGTCAAAAACATATTGCTTCATATGTTTTCTCGATACTGTATGAACATTTTTGGATTTGTCACACGCGTTACTGAAATATGAATGTTTTATTTAGATAATGCATAATTTGATGCTCTATATAATTTCTATTGGCTTTGTGTTCCTGTCAATCTGATTCGAACGGTAGTCAAAACACTTGAAATTATGCATGATCAACCTATTTTTATATACAGGGTGTTCCCCAAACAACCATTATGACATCAAGTAATAAAAAAAAGTCTTGTTTTCACGAGCAAGAAAATTTCGAAATTGATTGATGTGATTTGAACTGGTGTTATTGATGGAAAATCATAGAACTTGAACACTGTGACTGTGATGGAATTCAATATAAAAAATTCATGTTTCAGTCGGATACTCTTCAGTCATATCCATGTGACTCACGTCTGCCATTCTTTTGAATTTCGACAAATAATCAATCTGAGTCCTTTGTGAAGACGTTCACCGCAAATGAAATCACATCCTGATACTCGTTAATCTACTGCAATTGTGATGAATTCTGTCAGATGCATGGTATGTCTCGGCAACAACTTTTTTTATTCAGACGGCATCCTGTATATTTCTTTAGTCTATCTCATTTGTCTTGAAATTATCTTCTGAAAATCTATCACAAACTGTTAACGACGCTCTAAAAATCCGGTTTTTCTAATAATTCCAGTGGTTTGATCTTGCAATAGATTCTGTAGCAACTTGACATGGTGATGACAACTTCTCCTACACGCTTTGTTCGCCAGAAATCTTCTCAATCGGTTTCCTGCTTCGAAATTTTCTTGCTCGTCAGAACAAGATTTTTTTGTTATTACTTGATGTCATAATTGTTGTAAGGTTTGATCATGCATCATTTCAAGATTTTTGACCACCGTTCGAACCAGATTGACAGGAACACAAAGCCAATAAAATTTAGAGCATCAAATTATGCATTATCTTAATGAAACATTCATATTTTAGAAACGCGTGTGACAATTCCAAAAAAAATTTTTACAGTATCGAGGAAACATATGAAGCAATGTTTTTGGTTTTTGCCCCCCCAAAAAAAAATAGAAAGATTTTTCTTCTAAACGGGAAGCTTTTGAAATTTTTGGAAAAATGCACAGCTTTGATTATCATCCTGTAGAATCTCATCAGGAAAAGATGAAGTAGTCATATCCATAGGTTCGATTTTCAATGGAACGAGCTTTCAGAAACTGAAAAATAATTGAAAATCGGTTGAGGAAATCGAAAGTTATGATGATTCAAATTTGATCGAAAAAATGCGATTTAACGTTCCATGTGTTGAGCAGTTTATATTCAAGACTCAAAAGCAGTGTTTCTTTACAATACTTAAAATTCTGAAATATGAAACTTTGAAGGTGTGGAAGAATTGATCGCGTGTGTGTCGATTTTCACTAAATTTTCCGAAGTTCCCAATTAAATATTCTGGTCAGTCATGAGCTGAAAAGCATCCTATACAGGGTGGCCCACGGTCGATGGTACCTTAGACGTATACGGAAAACGGTACATTGGATTATCCTGAAAATTTGGTTACTCTAATAAGCGTTTGTGATCTAACGATTCAAAATATTTTCAGCGAAGCAGCGTTGCCACTTTTACCAAAAAGTAGCATCATCTTTGTTATTTCAAATGGAACACCCTGTATTTTATTGCGTTTTTAGATTCTTCTGGAAGAGCTGATTTTATCAATGCATCACACTTGGGGTCTAGCAGGAATTATTACAGATATATAGGGTGTTCAAAATCGAGATTTTTCAACGTTGGGATTTTTTTGTGTGGAAACTTTTCATCATTGGTCAAAACGGTTTACATGTCCCTATATTAACTTTTGATTAACTATCTACCGACATTTAATTGGAAAAAATACAGGATCGTCCAAGATTCAGAATTTTGATCACCCTGTATCTGTTCCAATTGAATGTCAGTAGATAGTGAATCAAAAGTTGAGATAGGGACATGTTAGCCGTTTTGATCGATAATGAATAGTTTCGACACAAAAAATTCCTGAAATTGAAAAATCTCGATTTTGAACACCCTATATCTCTGTAATAATTCCTACTAGACCCCAAGTGTGATACATTGATGAAATCAGCTCTTCGAGAAGAATCTAAAAACGCAATGGAATACAGGGTGTTCCATTTGAAATAACAAAGATGATGCTACTTTTTGGTAAAAGTGGCAACGCTGCATCGCTGAAAATATTTTGAATCGTTAGATCACAAACGGTTATTAGAGTAACCAAATTTTCAGGATAATCCAATGTACCGTTTTCCGTATACGTCTAAGGTACCATCGACCGTGGGACACCCAGGTAGAGGAATCTAAAAGAAATATATCTACCTATTCCCGCTTGTGCCACGACCCAAGTGAGCCGAAGAAAGAGCATCACGCCCCATATGTTGAGGAGGCATCTTATCAGAACGCCCTGTATCCACCCGAACTTCAACTGTCCGAAGCCCTCTCCCGTCTTCCCATTGGCTGTAAGCGACGTCGGCGGTAGACTCTAAAAGGATCCAAGCAGTCAGCGATCTAGGAAATCGTAAGAGATATTCAAATAATATTCCTTTGGGGCCATTAGCCGCGTGGTAGAAGCGTTAGTTTTTTAATCGCGATGGCTCCGATCCTAGCGGGTGTGCCAAAACGAAGGGCGGCCGCAGGCCCCATATCTATCACGCAAAAATTTTCAGAACTCGTAATAAGTCGAATGAATATGATGAATTTTGAAAACTTATTGAAAAATCGATTTTGGCGTAGAGCCGGCAATACAGCATAAAAAAGGATATCAAATTTCAAATTTCAGTCAAGTGGAAATATTAAAAATTCCAGCCAAATCGGCCAAGCCGTTCAGTAGTTGACGTACCGACAGCAGCGCCACCTACCACGTCCAATGTTTGAATCATCCAGGAAACCATCGGAATACCCATATAAAATTTCAACCCAATCGGTTCAGCCGTTTAGAAGAAGGATAATTCTTACTACCGGTTGTCCTATTACCCCATACCTACATCGTGGAATATTCATAACCTCGGTTGAAGCCAAGCGTGTATTATGTGGATGTGAAATTACTTCTATGCGTTTGCCCAGTATCTAAGGTGGCTATAATTGACAGCCACCTTACCAGTATCTATAGTAGACACTAATAGCCATGAAGTTTCCTTACTTTAAATTTACCGGCTTCCTGATAGAACTTTTGTCAACTTCATTTTGATTAATAATACAGTAAATCAACGAAGTCTTTTCACCGTGTAATCCATATGATTATTCCAGCGTAGAAATTGGTCGATCATTATACCTAAATACTCAAGTGATTCAGTTTAATTGATTTCTGAACAAGAGCAAGTCGCTGATATACATGAAGATTGGTGGACCTTTAGAAATTTTTTGTTGGGTTGGTCTTTTTTTGTTGACGAAAAAGCTATGAACTTTGTTTCATCTATGTCATGTTAAGGCTCAATAAATTATTATTTAGCCAGATGTATATTTGCTTCATTCCGATTTCTGTCTTTTCATATACCTCATTCCATGTTTTTCCAACAAATACTGCAGCCGAATCATCTGCATAAGATATTAGTTTACCATTGACATTTTTTATGCCAGATATATCATTAACATATAGTAAGAACAATATAGGATCCATGACTATCCCTAGCGGTACACCCATTGTTATATGCAGTGGATTACTACTTGAATTGTTAATTTTTACCCTTTGCAATCTATTTGATGAATATTCTTTCAAAATATCTGAGGGAATACCTCTCACTCCAATATTTTCCAACCGTTGAAAAAGTATGTTATGATTGACTGTATCAAATGCTTCAGCGACTCACTTATACATTTCTCTTGTTCTTGAAAGCAGTTGAATATTTTATCTGTTGATTCAAAAACAGCTTTTTCAGTTGATAAATTTTCTCTAAAACCGTACTGACAATTAGATATAATATTATTGTTCTCACAGAAATTCACTATTCATTTTGTCAGACACTTCTCGAATATTTTATCAAAGTTATTAATTACTGTTATGGACCTATAGTTACTCGGTTTTTGTTTATCTCCAGATTTATAAATTGGAGTTGTAACAGATTCTTTAAGAGCAGCGATTATTGATTCCACTCCATATTCCACTTTGTTCGGCTCGGTAATCAAATGGAGATAAACAATATCGTTGTGTGAGACAAAAAGTATTGATGGCAGTGATTATTCAAAAACAAAAACAGATCAAGCAAGTATGTCAAATAACCATGCAACCATATCAATGTTGTTTATTCTTGATAGCCTAGTACATCCTTTTTAGTTCCTAGGAGCTTGAGTTCAACTTTCGATCCTAGTAACTAAAAGTGTTGCCTAGCAACATTCTTATGTTTGTGTCAGCAATAAATGAAACGTCAATTCCACGAGCTGATTTTGGTATTAAAATGTACGACTTTTAGTGTGGATTTATCGCTTTTTGCAGTTTTGCTCCTCAGTTAATTATGACCCAGTTGATCAATCAAAGTTCAAAAGACCGAGATTGTCCATTAACTAGAGATTTTCAACTTTATGACCAAATTCACTCTTCTCGAGTTTTTGATTTAATATATCATCTCAGAAAGTTCATCTTATTTATTGTTTTTGTTTCATGATATAGATATGATGAGCCAATAACTAACTATACATGTTCTTATCTTTATTGATGGTATCAATTCCAAATTGACATTAGTTGACATTATTTCAGCTTGCACGAATGTTAATGCAGTGATAGTGTTTTCTAATCTACAAGACCTGGTACCTGGAATAGTAAGCATGTTTATAATAAGATATTTTTTAGTTTGGTTGTCCTCATATTGCACTGAATCAGATGTCAAATGACCTTCCCATATATCATGTATGAAGTATTACATTCTTTATCAGGAAAATATTATTTCAGCTTATCAGCTTTTAGTAGAGAAGGTGCACCTTAATGGTATTTTAGAATATATTATAAAAATACATAACTACATTTCCATGTCACGCATATCGGCATATTAAAGTTTGACATCTATCTATGGTTTGCCTCAAAGTGTTGAACGAATTTTCGATATAGGTACCAACTATAGATTGATCACCTGATAATGTGGATATTATTTTTGGTATAAAATAAAGTTCGACAGTTTTAGCATATCTACTTGTGTATGTTACCTAGAAAATGAAGATTACTAGGCAACCTATATAACTTCAACTATCCATACTTAATTTTACTTATTGATTGTTTGGGATTTCCTCTCTTCGTTTTTCAATAGCATTGCTTCCTGTTCAGCTGATATAGATAGAACGTGGTATTCACTACTGAAAACTTAACATGAAAATGGTAGATTCAAGATCAATTAATGAAAACATCATGTAACTCATTTATATACTAACATCATCACTCATCCATATGCCAACATCCACCCTACATCAGTATGTTACTGAAAAGTGTCAAACTAAAAGAATTATATTTTCGAAGAGATATATTTTGTATTTTTATGTTGAGAACGGAAGCAAATTCGTTTTGTAAACGTCCAAAGATAAGTGAAAATTTGATTGACACTTGTTATACAAAAAGGTGCCCGCCTAATATAAACCATAATATTCCTGATTTGTTCATTGAATGACATATTTTCATCATTTTTTGAATTGACTCGGTCGTTATATTCTTGATCACAGGACAAGTTGCGCTAACACAGTGTTTTTATCATATGAGATTGATGAGGTTTATTCATTTCGCAATAGGGGACAATAGGTCACTTCTTCTGTCTTCTTTGGGGATTAAGTAGGGTAAGAAGTAAAGAAGCCCTGCATCTTGGAACAACATGTTTTATAAATGTTTACATCAGGGTATCCCAATGTTAGCGTTTGCATGCAATATCCAACATCTCGCTCATTTGAAAATCAACTATAAAAACTCTCTTTTATATGCATTCCAAATTTATTTTCAGTCCCCCCCTATGTTAATTTTCATCGAAAATTAATCGCTACTTCATTCTGAATAAAATAACGGCATATTATTAAATTATAGTAGTTTTTGTGTATCAATATCAATAACTAAAAAATCTATTAGTTCTCAATTAGCTACCCACCATCATGATATCCTTCAAAAATCTTAGATTGGTACCGCCGCTGTGTGAAGAAACATCAGAGAATTTGAAAAAAGTAGTTGTATTTCAAAAAACTGATGACAATACATTTTTGTTTGTATTTCTGTTGTCCTTCGCACTTCGTTCAGTTCTGTGTGCAAACGGTAGTATACTCAATATTTAACATTCATTAGTTCTGTGGTTCTGAAATTGTACTGACTAGGGTTTTCAATTCCGAAACCCCAAGATCGGTTAGCCCAAACCCTGTAATCCCGGGATCCCTGTATTTTATTGCATATTTAGATACTCCCTGAAGAGCTGAATTCATCAATACACCGTACTTGGGGTCCAGCAGGAATGACCACATTAATGAGATATTATAGGGTGTTCAAAATCGATATTTATCAACTTTACGATGTTTCTGTGTGGAAACTATTTATTATCAGTCAAATCGGCTCACATGTCCCTATCTTAACGTTTGATTCACTATCTATACTTACATTTAATTGGAACAGATACAGGGTGATCAGAATTCTGAATCCTAAACCCTGTATCTGTTCCAATTAAATGTCAAAATGGATAGTAAATCACGAGGTAAATCATTAGAATTTGTGGAGATGACTTCCAGCTTTCTTTCCTTCCTTTGAGATACTCATTAATCTTCTACTTGGCTTTGATGGTATCCTCTTCACTCTTCAGCTCTCAATCTTTTTTATCGGCTTCTCTTGGTCAATTCTTCTTTTTACATTTTCCCCTAAAGCCCAACCTCACCATAGTGAAGGAAGGTCAAGCCGCGGCTGCTCGGCAGATTGAGCATTTTGGTACCATCTTTCCTCTCATCACTCAGATGGGACAGTTTTGTGGACATCTGAGTACAAGGATGGGGCAATTTATGAACATTTGCTTATGTGGCCGCGGATTGATAACGAGGCTCTGGCAACCTAATCCAAGTTGTGGAAAGCCGTGATAAGGGATGAATGGAACCGAGGTTATATGGCGTCGATAACGGGGAAACAGGACGACATCTCTGAGTAAAGATATCATAGGAAGAGGCCAAATCAATCGAAAAGAACAAGTATAAATCAGTTCTGCCGACTTTGACCTCAAGTCTCAGTAGAGCGATCTGAATCAAAATTAGAGTAACTGAATGTTATCAGTTAGATCAAAATATGTTAGCAATCAATCAAGCTCATTGTTAATATAATTTTATTATGTATCGCGATCAATTATGTAAGTACGTAATTCATTCGCTATTCGTAAACGTAAGTCTTGAACATAGTATCTATATTTTAATTTCCATGCAAAACCCAAGAGGTCGTTTTTGTCGTTTGTCGTTTTAACTGAGATTGTGAAGCATGAAATAAGAGTCATTAGATGGCAATAATCATAAAGAGTGGGCAACTGATGAAGGTATACTGTACACGCTCTCTTAATTGCTGGTAATTAATCGATTAATGCGCCATGCTCAATGATGACGAATACGACGTAGGTTATCTCTGATACCTAATAATGTGAGGTCGGAAGGTCAATGGCAATTGAAGTTTCATCTTAGAGGCGAAACCGAAATTTGTGTCGTGACTTATAGCAAACGTAAAATGCTAAACCTACACCTACAGCTCATTAATTTTTCGATGATGAACAAATAACGAATATACTGTCATTGGCAATAATTAAACCAAGAGATTAAAATGCCGATGTGCTTGGTCATGATGCAACTTGAAAATGAATCATATTAGAATTGGAACACATAAGCATTGTTAAATCTTCAAGTCCTTAAATTGACCTAGAAAAGACTCCCTTTCCCATTCACATGATATTTCAGGAACATCCTGTATTTTTCCTCAATGCATTTGAATTCATTAGCACAAATGGTGAGTTCTCCTCACTTAGTATGATAAACTCTGCTAAACCCCAAAATTCACTGTTTCTACTTGTGAAACAGATCGGTCAATTTTCAGAAACTCTTCTTCTTCTTTATGTAAAGTACTCCGAAAGTTTATATCCTGGTATGCGTTACTTTGAAATTATCCATTTTCCTAGCCTTATACGATAACAAGTAGGTAAAACTTCAAAAATGCCAGAAGCATACTAGACTTTTTTTTAAGAAAAAACAAAAACCTCTATGGGTTGATTCTTTCATATCCCAAGTTTCACTACTCAAGCTCTGGAACAAAATCAAAAATATATGCGGATGATACTAAATCAATACTGAGATAGGATATCTCGTCAATATTGGTTATTTTGTAACGTGTCTATACCTTTTTCAATTTTAGATCAAAAAGCATCAAGTTGATTTCAAAAAGTATCAACTGAATTCCAAATCAGTCATTTTAATTTCAAAAAATATCAAATGTATTTCAAAATATCATTAATTCAATTTCGAAATGCGTCAATTGTATTTCAAATCAGTCATTTTAATTATTTCATAACGTATCAAGTGTATTTCAAAGTTATCTATTCGATTTCAAAATTTGTCAATTTTATATCAGATTAGTCATTTCAATTTGAAAAAATTCAATTTTTATTTCAAAATCCATCATTTCAATCAAAACTGTCCATTTTTATTGATGATGCAACAATGACAGGAACCAGAAGCCAGAAGCGTTGCAATAACAGAGTGAATGAAAACCTTTGCCTATTCTTTTTCAGTTTTGAAATTCAAATGATGCATTATGAAATACATTTGATATACTTTGAAATACAAATGACTATTTTGGAATTTGAACTGTTAGTTTTTGAAATTAATTTGATAATTTAGAAATACAATTGAAGTTTCTTGAACTAATTTGAAATACAATTGACGCATTTTGAAATTGAATTTGAATTAAAATTGGAAAAGGTGTAGATTTTGCATCTTGATTTTTGAAAGGAACAAGTACATGATCTTATTCCTAATGATTTTTTCTGAGACCTGGGACAAACCGCTTCAAAATCGGACTAGGTACTTACTGAATGTAAAAAACTTCACAAACGATAAGATTTCCGCAAAATTCTTAATCACAGGACATGTTTTGCTAACACAGTAGCTTCATCAGGTAAAATACCTACTGGTACAATAAACTGAATATTATTATTACATTGACTTGCTTAACTTCTATATCCCAGACTTTCCCGAACTGAAGGATTAGAATTACCTGTAGAGAGGTTCGATAAACCTTCATTTTCGGGGAGTAGCCACAATATTAACGATGTATTGGATTAACTCGAAGGGGTTGATAGCAAATACATATTACCTATCAACTAATAAGAAAACAAATTCAACAGCGGACAAGCAGGTCGAACTTTAAATCAGCGCATTCATGGACATTTTTTTTAAGAAAACGAATTCAACATACACGAACCATATATTAGAAGAACATCGTAGTTTTGATGATGATTTTGAAATTTCACACATAGAAAATAAAGGAATAAAACTCAATCATTTTGAATCATTAGAATTCAACAAAAGCGAAAATTCTTACTTAACGTTCAACTGGACCTCAATACTTCACCGCTGTTGAGTTTGTTTTCTTAGTAGGTAATAATATTATGTAGTTGCTATCATCCCTTTCAAGTTAATCCGGTACACCGTGTTTCAATGTAGATATTGTGCCTACTTTCCGGAAATGAAGTATTATGAAACCTCTCTACCGGTAATTACTATTCTAATCCTTCAGGTTGGGGAAAGTAGGATATAAAAGTTGTGCAAGCCAATGGAAGTTTAGTTTATTGTTCCAGTTAATCACCTGAAGAAGCTGTATTAGCGAAACATGTCATGTTTTGTGGAAATCTTATCGTTTGTGAAGTTTTTCCCATTTACTAAGGATTTCCATCAAGTAACGGCCGATTCAATTCAAAAAATTTGTTCCTACCCAGCAACAATTTTGGTCGAACTTGTATTCCAACTGAGCTTCTACACCTTTATTGAAATGATATGTGTGTACGCAATTTATTTACATATACAAACGATGAACACGGAAAATCATCTGATTTTCCGATTGACTACCGAATTTCTGTCATACCTATTTTATGAGTCAGACGACTTGCCAATTTTTTTATGGCCGGATTTGATGACTTCCATGATGATATTCAAATACAAATAGCGATCAGAACGCCGAAAAGTTGCTAATTTCGATTCTTGGCAGAGCAGGGAATTTTTATTTATAGAACGAGTTATAACATTCTAATTTTCGTAGCCTCGGCCGGAGGTGATTCCGGACGATTCGCTGTTGTGTTCCAATTAACAGTGCTGCTCCTGAGATGGCGTAAGGAGTTAGTAACAAGGCCTACACAGAACACACACATGATGGGCTGAAATACCTCTCGTAAGGTCGATAGCCAGTTGGGATGTTCATACATTCCAACGAAGTACATATACTTACCTAATTATCATATTTAAATGCAATGAATGAACATTCAACATTAGTAGTTGTAGTATATGTACTTGGTTGGTATGTATGTACATACCAACTGGCCATCGACCTTAGGAGAGGTCCTTCAGCTCATTAGTGTTCTGTGTAGGCTTTGTTACAAACACCATATGCTACCTCAGGAGCAGCACTGTTGATTGGAACGCAACAGTACATCGTGCGGAATCAATCATCAGAATTTATAACTCGTTTTATGTATGAAAAATTCTTTCATCTTCCGGAGATCCTAGCAACCTGTTCCATTGAAACTGAAATATAATAATAGGTACTCTATTTGGCACGGTGCCGACTAGATTATAGTTAAACGACTTCAATATGCCATATACAGTGAGGACGTAGAAAGTCCTCCCCCCCCCCTTTACCTTTGAACGGAACAAGCTAGCGAGTTCGGGAAAAATTCAGCCAAAAAGGTACCTCTTACACTACTATTTGGCATGAAAATGGTTGTGGTCACGTGACCTAGTGTCAAGTGGGCACCACCAACTTTTTTTTTCAAATATAAAGAGGGGTAACGTGGTACCTTGTTTTGAAGGCCTTTCGATTCTTTATCCAACTCCACTTTGTTTGTGAAAATCGGTCAAGCCGTTTCAAAATGACAAGAGCGTTTGAAATGTACCTCGGAAACAGTGGATCACGTTCGTATTGAATTCCAAAACCGTTTTTTTCGTGTCAATAAGTGAACGATGATCATTTCGAGCACGTTTGAGCACTTGCTACAATGGGGAAGACCACTGGGAGAAGAAATCCGTGCAAACCTCTTTTAATCGACGAATCATGAGTTACGTTTGATCTACAATCAATATTATGAGTTGAAGTTGAAGGGAATCGAATCTATATCGTTTTGAAATCAGCATATTTCATTCGATATTTCAAACAGCCAAATATGATGGTGGAGCCGTGACGTATTAGTCCCAACCTGTAGCTATCTCTGTCTGATACCTCGTCATTCTGCAGTGTTGCAGTGTGATTGGTCAGTTCAAGGACAAAAGGCGTGTTGGGACTAAGACGTCGCACCCGTGACACCAATGAATTGACAAAATTTCAAATGGCGCAGGTATTGTGTGCTTTGAAATGGATATATTCTAATTTATTGTTTTCATCGTCTTAGCATGAATGACAAAATTCAAAATTAATTCGCTGGTAGTTTTTCAGTATAGAGTACACGATAATGTCGTTTTAAAAAATCAGTGGTCTCCCCCATTCCTACTTGAAATTCTGTTGCAATCGAAAGTTATTTAGGTTTTTGATTCATCATATTTAAACAAACAAAGCGGAGTTGGATAGAGAATCGAAGGCCTTCAAAACAAGGTACCACGTGACCCCTCTTTATATTTGAAAAAAAAAGTTGATGGTGCCCACTTGACACTAGGTCACGTGACCGCAACCATTTTCATGCCAAATAGTAGTGGAACAGGTACCTTTTTGGCTGAATTTTACCCGACCTCGCTAGCTTGTTCCGTTCAAAGGTGAAAAGGAGGGGGAGGACTTTTTACGTCCTCACTGTATACTGGGAAGACGATTGTATGACCTAGGTAGAAACATAATACGAATTAACACTATTGGCCCAGTGCCGGCTGAATTATAGGCAGCGTGGCCACGGCCAGCAATATGCCGATCTATCATGAACTTGGCCAAAAGGCGGTCAGAGATTTGATGTTTGCTGGGATGACATTCGTCCAACAATTTATACACAGGGTGATCCGTTCAAAAATCAGAGTTGATGTCAGTTCCGGTAACAACGTCATTTCGTCTGTGTTTTTGTATACTCCTGGAGTTTTCACACCCTATATACCCACCTTTGCGGGAAGACTGGCATTGAGTAGTTCGTCCAAGGTCGGCCTATTGGCAGCCTGAATCGACATCACGTTCCTGTAATTGTCCAGCCTTGGTAGAGCTTCCCGTGTCAGATGTCTATAAAAAAAATAATTTGATTGAATAATTGCTATACCCAACCCCTAAATTGGGTATTTTCAACTCGCTGAAATTCGTATATACAAATGATAATCATACGGTAGATAATAAACTGGGTGATGAAACTCTATTATGATCAACATAAAATATCCAGACATTTCCTAAGTACATCAAAATTTTTTGAGGCATACTCCCAAATTCTCCTATGATATTCCTTTTTTTCGGCCAAGAACATCCATTCATCCATTCATCAAATACGTGAACAGGAAACAACTTGAACATTTCAGAAAACTATTTTTTCTATTACTGCTATAAAAAGTAGCGCATTTCTCATAGCTCACTTATTTTCAAAATCATGTATTGCCATACTGTGAGAAATATTTTTTCTCACGGCACTTTGCCGACACCACATACATTTTCATGGAGAATCAACAAAAATCGATCAAAACTTGGCTGCTGTTCCGCTTTGAATAGTTGTCACAACTGTCAGAAGAAGTTTTTGAAATTCTTTAGGGTAGTTCTCATTAGTGCTTTTGATAGAAATCGCATTTTCCATCAAATATTGTTCCAAAATTTATAATAAATAATATGATGTATATACCGAGAAGTGACGATTTTGATAAATACACAGCCAGAGACAGAGATAATGGAAAAGCTGCGAAAGTTGGATTTGTTTCGGAAAAATAAAGAAAAAAGTATGAATTGAAATATTGGTACGAAAAATTTAAGGAATTTGAAGAAATACAGAAATAAATTCTTATCGGAAAGTGTACTTTTTTGAAATACTTTGAGGAACTAGGAAAGGCGTCTACTCTTCGGTCACGATATTCAATGTGGGATAGTGACACATTATGAAATGACTACCAATAAGTTACATTACTCGGATTCTTTGAATAAGTGCAGTTGTAGAAACTCGTGCGTTTGCATCACTCGCCCTTCAGGCTCGTGTCAAAAACTTTCGCACTCGTGAGAAAAGTTGAACTTTCCCCACTTGTTGCACAATATACTATTTTATTACGTTTTAACCGTGTCACAGGTTAGGTATCATACCATCAACACCTTTAATATTTCTAGAATGACTGGATGGAATCTCGGATGAGATGTTCTTTGAAGACAATAAAAATATTATGAATAACTCTCCTCTAAGTTTCGAACGGTGGTTTTCCAGTCCTGTTTTTTTTTGTTTTTGTTCACTTTTTTTCATTATTTCAAGATTTTGATGATATTGTTGGCCTGAAACTAGTTTCAATGCCTGGAAAATGTGATACGTTCACTATTTTGTACATGGTAGATGTGACATGTTATAGAAGTTCAAGAAGATGAGAAAACTCAAATAGTCATCTTCACTATATTTAGTATTTTTTCATCTCTTGGACCGCACGAAAGGAGATTCCTATAATGTTCGTGGGACATCGTGCGTACCTTGGGAGGATAGGGTGAGGAAGTAGGTATTGGATTTTTTTTTGAACTTTTGGAGGTTATAAATTCTTGGGAATACTTCCATTGGCAAAGAATTCCAAAGTTCGCCGTTCTTCGACATTTTTCAAAGTTAACGACGAAGGGATGTGCTGACTGGGCCTGTCGAGTTCGTCTGACTCATATTGCTAGTGATGGAATTATAGCAGAGATTTCTGAGGAACATTTCTCATGGAAGTGGAATGTCGCCGACTTTTCTACGTTGTTCTAATGGTGTCAATGAATTGGTGAGTGTGACATCACCCACCAGGCAAATGGCACTTTTCTGGATGGAATCTGAGAGCATCAGCGTATGTTTGGGTGCTGAACCCCATACAGAGAACAGTATTCTAAAACTGGCAGTACATGTGCTTTGTAGATCATAGGAAGCTGTTGAGTATTATTTCCATATACAGGGTGGCATTGAAGTAAGTGCAAATATTTCAAACACTGAGAAAGCTCGACGTGTACTATCGAATGGCACTAATAAAAAAATTTAAGGATCAAAGATCAAAATGAAATTTGAGGTTAGACCCCCTGTTCCACCCAAAGTTCTACACTGTAGCAAATCTGACGTCACCTCTTTTCAAATTTCCATGCGGTAGACACCACGTGGAGTTCAATCATTTAAATTGTTTCAAAGTTGCGTACTTGATTTTTTTTTTCTCGTATTTTGTTCAATTTTTGGGATGAAATTTCTCTTTAATTAGAAGAATTAGAAAAAATCTGATATCATGGGAATACTCCTTAGACTGTATCATATTAATGTGCTGAATATGTGCACTTATTTCAAAAACACCTTGTATATTTCGGACTCTTAGACTTTATAATCAGCCGTATCACATGTAACATAAAGAAATGTCATTGAATATTGTGGGGAAACAGATGATTTAACCTCTTTTGAAGTTTTTTTTTCTGTACAAGCTTACACTGCCTCCGCTATAATTTATTTCAGAGTTTCACCAGAAACATGAGAATTATTCATAATCGATTATTTATTTATCAACAATATTTCCATTATCACGTGTATGAATAATTATTCAAGAGAAATCGAGAACCCCATTATTGTAAACTTGAATCGACCACGTATCAGTAACGCCCAAATCAATAATGTCGATTATATTATCCCTTTCATTATGATCAGTACAGGGCGGTACAGGGTGATGAAAGTGACGTTCAAGAAAGATCCACAACATATAGGTACTAGATCATACTCGATTTGAAATTAATAATATAATTCCAAAAACATATCTCGAAAATAGCTGCACATCTACCAAGTAGAATTCAAAAAATGTACGAATATACAGGTTGTTCCATTTATTGTTTTGATTGATAACACGAAAACTTGATACTCAATTGTTTTTCTGTTCTCACCGTTGTAATCAGCCGATAAAATGCTAATTAAACCGATGTTGTATAGTTTCAAAACTATAGAAGTTACCCATGGCGAACAAGTTAATTTAGATAGCCCTATACAGGGTTTATTGGGGAGTGACAGTTCTTGGGTTTTGGATTCAGTGAATAACAAAAAACGCTAATCTGGTCATAATTTTTGTACCACTTTGTATAATTTTGTTATACTTAGAAACTGCAGAGAAATTCCACTCGTATTACCCATCAAAACTGAATAAAAATCGAGATCATAATCCAGGTCCGTCTTAACCATCAAAGTGCCCTCTATCTGCAGATATCATATTATGTACATCTGAATCTCAAACACCCTGTATAGAATGGCCTTAATACCTCGAAGATGTAACACCCACTTAATTTTTTTTTACAAAATTCAATCACCTTGTATATTATCCGTCGGTTGAGCACGTTTAAAATACCATGAGAGCATTTTTTCACGATTTCATACCTGATTAACTTTCCTGGGCATGAGAGCAATTATTTGTTACATACGTATTTTATTACGTGATGATGGACATGGAATAAATACTTACATGGTGATCCCACCACCATTTTTTCTTCATAACAAATCTCAGTCCATGTCATCTGATTGAATCATAACAAACAAAAATGTTTACTTTCTAACGCGTAGTTTGAAAAATAAATCCAGAAATGCAATAAGGAAATATGTCTGTCTTCCTGCAGTCTTTCAATTCAGATCGAAAATTATACAGATCCTCTGATTAGGTATTGAAATTAATTGCATAACAGAACTGATAAAGTATCAATTCACAATCAATGTAGTTTATAAAATTCTACAACAAATGGCTTAGTGATATCAGCAAACTATAAATAGTTTTGGTCATGTTGCGGTATTTCTGCTGTTTATTTCAATGTTATCTGATTTCAATTGTCTTTCAACTGGCCTACTTGCCATTATTACAATCAACAAGTGATTAGAATTAATGCTATTTCGTCTCCGAAACACCTTTGGCATGTTAAAACTTTGTAAAGGACTAAAAATATATGGTTTTTATGTTGACGCTATAGGTACCATTCGTCATCCTAGAATTATTATAGAGCTATTATTGTAGATGAAAAGGTTGTTTCCGAGTAGTTTTCGGATTAGCAGTTCTCAGAAGACATTGTTCCGAGTAAGGTACTTAGAAGGAATGCCTGAGTAACTCATCCTCAAACTCAATTTTATTTCATATGGTGTGGAATAGTTATTTTTTCTTATGAAAAATGAGAAATGCTCATTTGCTGATCGAGAACTGATTTTTTTTAATAAGGCGCAGGCCTTATAATTATTGTTAAACATTCAGACTTGGATTCATTACTTGGATGCGCGAAGTATGTACTTCGCGCACTGCTTCGCACATGGTGTCGTGGTAACGTAGAAAACTGAAAAAAGTGTCACTTCGCAAATTGTTATCAATGCGAAGACGTTGCAAATGTCTTCATAAACTACCATGGCGGTCATTATCTTCTGAAAAATCTATACAGGGTGTTTCAGTTTTTTGTAGCAGGACTTTAACAGCTTGTAGAAGACTTTTTTTTTGAAAGTGTCACATAAACATATGTGGGTGGGAGCTTAGTTTCCGTTATCAAAGTTTCAGATTTTTTTGTTTTTCCAATTTTCTCCTACAATTTTCGGAATAATTGATTGAAATTTGGTACACGTAATACACTCCAAAAACTCAATATTTGAGGTAATTGAGTAATTTTTGATATTTAGGATATTCAATAAAATTCATCGTGTTTATTTCATTTTGTTCGTATATCCTTCAACTTCAATAACAAAATGTCAAATAAAGTGTATTAATGATTAGGTACAAGTAATTTAGTTTTGGCATACAGTTTTCGAAAAACATATATAGGAGCAAAAAGTTTCCAAATTGGAGAGACAATCTGAATCGATGTCTCACTGAAAGCAGAGGCGGCACGCACAAAAGTTCTACCTGGTTAAATTGGGTACGACCGAGGGTACGACCCCCAAAAGTCTATCACCCTGTAGGTATTCAACAACGCTCAATAGCTCCAAATATTGAGTTTTCATAGTGTATTACGTGTACCCAATGTCAATCAATTATTCCGAAAATTGTAGGAGAGAATTAAAAAAACACAAAAAAAAATCTGGAACTTTGACACCCTGTAAATCTGAAACTAAAAGCCCCCACGCATATATATATGTTTATATGAGACTTTCATCTTTAAAAAAATGTCTTCTACAAGCTGTTGAAGTCCTCGGTTGTCTAAATTCAGAATTAGAAGGTTTGTTTTCAGAGTATGGAAGTTGGTGCTCACTTTTGCTGTCTTTATATCGTTCCTTATTGTGGAAACTGCTTCCAAGGTCATCTTAGGGGAGTGACTCATCAAATCAATAATCAAAAGGGGTTGTTTGGACAGGGGTCGTTGTTAATGTGAAGGGATTTCGTTGTCGAATAATATTGGCAGAATGGATTCATTGACAAAATCCACATAGGTGCTTGTTCGTTTTTTCTTTAGTTAAGTTGAATGATGGCAGCAATACTATTGGATTTCAAAATTATTGCCTTATTCAACTGTAAAATGGCGACATGCGCAATAACGACCTTGGCCTTCCTGAGAGATGCAGATACGTGCAGATATATTGCACTCTTGGTTTAATTTTGGGGTATTTTCCACACAATAATAGAGGCAATGTTCGGAGTTTTCTGCTGAAGGAATGAGGCATTCCCAATAACAATAATGTCCAAACTTCGAAAAAAGTCCAATACCCACCTTCTTTCTCTCCCATTCCTCCCTAGATACGAACGATGTTCATCGAGAATTATAGGGATTTCTTTTCGTCCGCGCAAATAAATAAAAAATAGTCACGATAAGGGTTCCAATCGAATTTTACTAACATCAATTTTTTCCCTCTTGAGTTTTCGCATATTATGAGTCAACCATTTAATCTACTCGTTTCGTTACCAATTTGGATTGAAGTTGAACAAGTTTGCTAACAATTTTAGGTTAAAACTTAAAATTTCACTTATTGGAAATATCAACTCATTTTTGAAATGATGTATCACGAGCACCCATAAGATGAGCATTGTTTTTGCCACCACACATACTTCTTGAAATTAATAGCGAAAAACCAAAGAAAAAGAGCGAAATTTCGCTATTTTTTGCTATTAACTCTAAACGGTATCAAAATATCCGGATCTAAAGATATTGCCTGTGTTACGTAACGAGATCCTAAAGGGTAGAAGGAAAACGTTTGCCCTTCTTCAAGAAGAGCCTTCACTGTCCAGAGGGATGTTCCTGTCTGCAGATAAAGAGGAGTGGCCACTTAAAGTGAGACACGCTGTATAAGAACCATGGGTAGTATATGGTAAAATCAATTACGGCATGTTCGAGATGAGACACAAAGGGCCATCAGACCTAAAAGTGTCATCCAAAAAAGGTGGAGTTTTTAGTGGGTACACCCACACCACCATGATGGAAATCCATAAAGGTCACCCACCTGAAGCTCTTCACCATGTCGCTGTTCAACTTGGTCCTGTCAGTCGCAGAATGAACGTCGTACTCCTCGTCGTCGGTTTGCTCGCTGGCGTCCACTTTGATCCGCAGCTCCACCCCAGGGAACTGCTCCTGGTCGTTTTCCACTCGGTTCACCTGAAACCTGGTCTGCTTGCCGCCGTTCTGGGTCAGGCTTTCCAGTTCCGTGCCCCTTAAGTCGTTCAGGCTCGTCTTCGACATGGCTGGAGGTGGTCTGAAAGGTGGCAGTCAGGATGACAAACATCATTGTAGGTTATGGATAGAAATGACAGATTTTGAGTTGAAGATAGAAGTGACTGATTGGAGCGATAGCGAGGGCAATTAACACGTCTAACTAACTAACTTTAATGCCAGAGTCGTCCATCAGGATGACATATCAAATCATAGATTTTGAGTGATCGACTGGAATGATGGATTAGAGTATACCGAGGAGTATACACGGTTCACCTAGAACCTGGTGTGATTGCCGCCGTTTTGGGTCAGGCTATCCAGTTACATGTGTCCGTTATGCCGAAGTCGTCTAGGCGTGTCCTCAACATGGCGGAAGCATGTGGCAGTCAGAATTACATGAAACGTTTTATTGGAGTTCATGGACAAAAATCACAGTTTTTGAGTGAAGTACTGGAATGATGGATTAGAGTATACTCGGTTGACCTAGAACCTGGTGTGATTGCCGCCGTTTTGGGTCAGGCTTTCCAGTTCCGTGTCCCTTATGCCGGAGTCGTCCAGGCCTGTCTTCGACATGGCGGAAGCATGTGGAAGTCAATATGACATGAAACGTTTTACTGGAGTTTATGATTCATCGATGTATTTTGACTTATCGATAATCGGTATGTGAAATCCAATATCGCGTAGCCCTGACCCTAACTTCAATATCAAGATCGCTATTAACGAAAAAAAAAAAACAATTAACATAATATTTTTCAAATCTTTGTCTCGATTTTCGTATGCAGGCAGGAGACATGAACATTTTATCTATATATACAAGGTGTCCCAGAAGAACGTACCATAAAATCTACAGGGTGAACTGGAGACAGAATAGGCCGATCGATGTCAACTTAGCTCTATACGAAAATGCACCTTTGAGCCAGATTTTCTTGAATATTTCAAAATCCTTAGAAGGTATTACTCTAAAATTCGTATGGTAATTTACTATCGTGAATGTACATGAAAAACATGTCATATCAATTTAATCAATATACAGGGAGAAAGGTTTTTCATATTCTCTTAACTTTTCCCAACTGCAGTTTATTTTATAATTTTTCTTGGTTTTCGAGATATCTAACAATCGATTTTGGTGCCTCTCACACACACAAAATGCTGGATTATTTGGAGTTTGTGTGAAATTGGACGAATTTGGGGAAAAAATTATATGTTTCACACGGCAGAAAAGCAGATTTAATGCCTTAGCTGGTTTCCTAGCCTCGGCTACGCCTTGGCTATGAAACGCCAGTCGCAACATTAAATCTTGTGCTTTTCTGCCTAGTAAAAATAGTTATTTATTATACAAGGGAAAAAAGTAGTAGATTTTAGCTCCAGGTTGTGTTGTCTCCCGACGCGTAGCGGAGGGAGACAAAAAACCGTGAGCTAAAATCTAATATTTTTCCCGTGTATAATACACTATTTTTTTCTGTGACAGAAGGAAGGACGAATCAATATTGAGAAGATATTACATTATTTCGAAATCTGAAAATTATCGACGTGAAATTTCAAGTTTTTAACAGTAGGGACACCTGCGTTTTATAGACATCCTTATCATTCTTTTGAAGTAATCAAATCTGATGTCACTTCTGTCAGTTCAATTCTGTGATTTGATTTTAAAAAATCGCGAATTCAGTAGTTGTTTAGTAATATACGAAACCGCGAAGTCGAATGGAAGATATAAGGACTTGCAGTTCTTTCTCTGAGACGGTATTATTGACTCATTTTTCGGAACTATAGCACAACTAAAGCCATTAACAGAGTATATATATGTGATATATATCCGGGAAAGAAGTACTCACTTTTTTCCCACGGGAAAAAAGTAATTTATGAAAAGTGACATTTTATACCCTGCCAACAGAGATGAAATGCCAAACTTTTTTCCCGTCACAGAAAAAAAATAATTATTTCATCGCCCTTTCACGGCTCATCGGTGCATTTTTGTATAGAGGTGAGTTGATTACAATCAGTCTATTTTGGTGTCTAGTTCACCCTGTAGAATTTATGGTACGTTGTTCTGGTAAACCTTGTATATTGTAGGTGATTTTGTTGAGCTCAGGAATTTATAGCTGAAATGAAATTGAAATTTTCTTCTAGTTGCAAATACGTGTTAGGTAGGTATTCATTCAAATCTAATATAAAAAATTCACCTGTCCCAGTCAAACTCGGCCGATTCGTATGGAAATTTTTGTGCGTATTCGGTAGGTATTAGAATTGGTCGTGTACTATTTTTTATATGGAAAATCCAATATGACGGACGAGTTTTGTAATCCGATTTTATAAAAAATTGGTATCAAGGGATTTTTGGGGTTGGAGATTATGATTTATTCGTCAAAAATGGGAAATTCATAATGACGGAACCAATATGGCGAATAAGTTTTTTAATTATGATCAGATTCTAATCAAAATTTGTATCTGCGTTTTTTTGAGGTCAGAGATTATGATTCTGATTATGATGGCGGATCCAATATGACGGACATGTTTTGTAATTATGATCCGATTCTATTAAAAATTGGTATTTTTTCATATTTTGTTGAGGGGAATCTTCAGTGGCGTAATTAAGATTCATCCCTAGGGGGGAAGGGGTTCTAGGTCCAATATCCAATATTTAGGAAAATGAAAACCAATACGTAACTTACGTAATTTGAATGTGTGCATCATTTGGAACCAATAACAAAATAAAGAAAAAAGTATTGAAAAATAATCAAATAATATCACATATCAACAGGTACAGGTAATTGTTTTAGATGTATGACAAACTGACATTTATCATACCAATTTGGTAAGTAATATATTTTTTATATCGTTATATTCATCATAGTATTCATCCGATTCTGGAAGAGAATGTCAATTCTCAATTTCAGACGATATTCATTTTATGCTCAAATTCCTATCGTGTATGTTCAATTGATATAATTCAATGTTCGTCGTGGCATATAGCCAGGAAAGTAGTTGTTTTCTGTTGAATATGCCGAGAAAGAATTAATAATTTCATCACATAGAGAATGCGAATTCTCAATGTATTTATTTAAATGTATCCATTTTTTCATGTTTATAATATATCTGAGAATATTCCTTTTCAATAGGTACAGGTACATTAAAATAGGAACGAAAAAAAAAATAACGAAAAAAAATTCGACTAATTCAGTTACTGAAGAATAGAAAAATTTAAACTGTTGTTTTTTTTTGCTGGAATCAAGCGACTACTTTTGGGGACATGGAGAAAATGAGAAAAAACTACCTATTCTATATAGAAGGTGATTCAGAATTCGATGTGAATATCTTATATACGTATTGTTGGGATCAAGATAAAACTTTTTCATCATATAATGATGTGGCCTAAAATGCACCTCCTTCGAACTGCCGTAAGTTCAGTGGCGTAGCTATGGACGGGCAGTTCGGTGCGGTGCACCGGGGCCCCGGGGCATTGGGGCCCCGGAGGGGCCCTTATATCCCAATCTGCATTAGCAGGTATAATGCAAGAAAGTATTGGTGTGCAAATTAATTCATGAACCCTGTAACTTTTTTAATCCTTGTCAGATTTTTGTGAGATTTCGATCAAATCGTAGATTCATGTTCCGGAATGTTAGTCTAAATATTAGTTTCTGTGAAAAACCGATGACTTGATCATTATATAGGGAAATACCTACCAAAGTTACTATTTCACCCTTTACTTCTTAACGCCATGTGGCAAAATTGAGTTATTGAACTTGGCTTCATTATGCTCTGGATTGAAGTTTGATCCCTTCCTAACACAATGGTTGCTGATTCACGTCAATAACCCGTTTTTAAGAGAATATACGAGTGTTTTAAGAAATTATGGCATTTTTCAATTATTTTTAACAATAATCAGATCCTACATCAACCTATTGATTAACAACTTGAGGAATCAATATCACTAATGTCTACCTAATTTTTATAGCACTACCTAAAAAAACCTTAAATACAAAAAACAAACAAGAAGCAGACCTGTAGTCAATAACCAGTATGCTCTCCTCGAGTTTGAATTACAGCATTTATTTAACCGCCCTGTCATCGAGTTGATCAAATTTCTCAAGTGGACTTGAAGAATAATCAAAATTCTTCAATTGTAGCTCTTGAAGAGTCTCTGACAAGGCCGGGCGAATGCGAATGAGCCTCTGAAGTTCATCCCTATAAGATACTCTAGAGGTTTTGAATTATTGTTGACAAAAATTAAAAAATTCCATACTTTCTTCGAACACTTGTATATTCTCTTTCAAAAGAGATATTGACGTGAATCTTGAACCAATATGCTGAGAAAGGACGAAAAAGGATCAAATTTCAATCCTAAACATAATGAATCCAAGTTTAACCACTCACTTTTTCCACAAGGCAATAAATAGGAAGTTAAGGGTAAAAGAAGTAACTTTTGTTTGTGACTGTATAATGATCAAACCATCAGCTTTCCTCGGGACCTAATATTCAAGAAAATATTCCGTTACATGCAGAGAACAAGCAGAGGTATCAGGTGGCTGCCATATGGCTCGTCAACATTTGCAAAAACAATTCTTAAACTTTGTCATTTCGTGACTTCATTCGAGAGAACAGAAGAATACTTAGGTACATTCAGTTGTTTTCATTGGAAATTAAATTAACTGATGAGGCTACTAGATTCATACTTAAGAGACAAATATATTCGATTCTCATTTTGAACTTCTAAACCAGAGGCAGCTTGACCTTGAAATTTCGAAAAGAATTGCCTGAAGCGCAATTTTGCTCATATCAGCTTCCTCAAATTTCAAACTCATAACGACTCGCCACTACAAGAGATATACATTTTTAACAATATTTTGTTCTTTTTTTTCGATCTTCAACTACCTTTAACTCTAGGGTTGGAAAATTTTCTCAGTGAATTAGGGCCCCATCAACCCTCGTTGCACCAGGGCCCCGACACCTCTCGCTACGCCACTGCGTAAGTTGAGTAAACAACAAAGTATTGCAGTACCGCACATCTCTGAAATAGCAGTCTTGAATGCGTTCCGACATGCGTTCAACCCATTGCGTTCGAAACCGATGCCGTGTCTTCTTTCGTTGATTCCGATTTTCGGGAAAACGGTTAGTTGTATGAAAAATTGCAAGATATCTCGGATTCTTAAATTTTTATTTGGCCCACAAGATCATGGAATGGAAAGTCAGATAGTTTCTCTTTTGTAACATAAAATTTGGGCCATCAAAAGGGTCGACCCCCCTCCTCCTCCGTCAAAACTGGGTTTAACGGTTTACATCATTTTCAAAGCAAGAAGAAAATAGATGAGTGTCTAGAAAAACGAGGGCATGCCAATTTTTTGAAGATGTAATCCGTTTAGATAATCTTGGCTGCAGCTAGGAGAGGGTGCATTTTAAGAATCATGTACATATGGAGAAAAAGTGATATTTGACCCCCAACAATATGTCCTCAAAATATTTACATCGAATTTTGAATCGTCCTTTATATGGATATAAAAAAACTTGTACACATTTTGCAGTCGTGAGGAATGCCCACAAAAAATTGTTTTTTTTTTCTCATTTTCCCCATCTCTCCAAAATACAATCGTACAATTTCAATGACAATACCTAACTAACCTTCGATTTTCGTTCGGAAGGTTCTATACAAATGAAATTCTCGTGATATTTCCTATACTCATGTCTTTTTTTCCATTATCAGAATTGTTTACCTACCAGATTGTTCCGGTATTTCAGACAGCTCAAGAGGGGTGTCCAGACCCCATGGACCCCCCCTTAATCACGCCACTGGGAATCTTCCCTAGCCCTAGCCTTTTCTCACCAAAACTCTGAAACACTCTGTATACCTACTATGACAATATATACCTACCTCTACTAAGTAGGTAGCGAGGTAGGTTGTGTCTATACCTATATGAAAGTATTTTGCAATCTTAAAACATTGTTGTTCACCCTGTATTTTTTCCTCACACAACTCCAAACACCGCTTGGCGCTTACCTTTTAAAAAATTCACACTAAAACAAAAATCAGTTTCAACACATCATCACAATAGTTATCTAAAAGAGAGAATGCCCCTCTAGCCTGTATACCTATGTATACAAGAAACACGTGTGAACTGAACTGTATGTTTGAATCTGGATCGGTATCGTGGTATTCGTGGTCGATGATAGGCTAGGTTAGCTGTACGAAAAACGTGACGGGCGATCAAAGAACTGCACAGTGCACAGTCTGACAATTTCATACGGTTAGGGGTGAGTAGGGCTCGCAGAAATGAAGGCCAAATAAACTAGTTTTAATAATATTTCTTGTACTCGTTCAGTTCATACCAATAGTCAGTGACTTCTTGCATCTTGCATCGCTTTTCATGTATTTTACTGGCGAGTGACGAGTAAGGTCACAGTTGAAAGAATACAAATATAATATTCTTTATACTGTGCATGGTAAGGTGCAGAGTCGGTTCGTTAGGGGACAGATCAATTTGAACTTATTATAACCTAGACGCTTATTAATTATTATCAGATTCAGGTGGATTTTTCTGGACAAAAGAATATCTTATTATTTCGTGCTTGTTAAACAATATACTATTTCATTGTATCTCTATAGCCACCTCTGTATCCTTTAGGGCTAGGTAATGTAGTAGGTATTCTGGACACACCGTGTGTCTCCTCTTTCTTAGGCACTCACCTTCCATAGGAATAAGATATTGCCTCATTATAAATATTATGTCAGAACCTCCTACTCTTGCTGTGAAACTTTCGTTTTTGGAAGCAATAAATATCGAATTGAATTGAATTGAAAGAATATCTTATTGATAGTGATATCAGTATAAGTATAGAGTGATGTGTCCTCTTATATTCTGATTCCTATACCTACAGATCCAATTTTATTATTCAAGGTGGAAAAAACTAGAAATATGAAAGTTGTGGGGTTTCATCTGTACTCGTTAAATGAACGAATAATGCGTTTCGCAAAATAAAACAGAGGCCAAAACAGTTTTTTCAAGTATACTTTTGTGGAAGTTTTTTTTTTCCTGTTCACAAATATATTATACAATGTGTTTTTTTAAAAGTACGTATATATAATCAGCACATGGATATAATACAGTCTAACGAATATTCTCATATTAGATTTTTATCTAACTCTTTTGATTAAGAAGAAGTTTCATGCCGAAAATTGAACATAAAACGAGAAAAAAATCAAGTATGTCACTTTGAAACAATTTAAATGATTGAAATCCGCGTGATTGTGCCTTCTGCATGAAAATTTTAACAGAGGTGACGTCAGAATTGCTACAGTGTGGAACTTTGGGTGGAAAAAGGGGTCTACCCACGAATTCCATTTTGATCCCTATATTTTTTTATTGGTGCCACTCGATAGTATACGTCGAGCTTACTCAAGGCTTCAATTATTTCTACCACTACTGCTCCTTACTCTCTGGGTCGTACCGAATTGAAATATACTCGAATGAATTGTATGTACTCACCTTTTGTTAGTCGTCGCAATGTATTGATATTTCAATAAGTTATTCACGCTGTTTCGTTTTTCGTTGACGTTCTTTGAAAATGAGCGAAACTGAGACAAATCCATCTAGCGCTGCTGGTAACATGGTTGGTTGAATTGATTTTCTGTTTCTCATGTACATACTTGATTATCTATATCTCTTTGTTTTGTGTCACTCAATGGAAGTTTTTTCACAGGATACTCGATTTATTTTCGTAAAGTCTGTGATGACCCAGCAAGCAGAGTTATATCACAAATATATCGCAGCAATGTAACAATTATGACCTGCAATATTGCATTCTATGTCGCATAGACGTCGCTGCGATGTCAGAGGGATGTTATTTTGTCCCACTCAAGTTTCATTCATGCGACGTCGCTGCGATGAGTTTTCTGCAATATATCAGCGATATATTTTCTGCTATGTAATTCTGCGATGTGTTTTTGCGATAAAACTGCGAAGTGATGCGAGATGACGTTTCCTTAAGCATGGTGTGATAATAATACATCATTGACCTCTGATGACATCTAATAATATTTGGTGGTCCCTCGGGTCTCCTGTCCATTCAATCGTGTTTTCAGCTGCGCTAAGGTTACCTCTACGCATCTCCATCAGGATGAGATCAGTTAGTCGTATTTGTATAAAAAATATGTAGTGTGTATGTGTCGGCGAGATGTTTGATAGCAATGTAAAGAATGTTTGCGAATTCAACTTCACTTCGTTCAGTAACTTTTTTTTTCAGCCAACAAGAAACTAAATATCAAATTCTTGCCGAATTCTCTGAAATAAAGTCCACATGTGTACATCGCAGCGATGGAACATTCGTAATATTGCAGTGTTGCTCCATCGCGAATTATGCATCGCTTCATCTCAGATATATCATGTCGCAGATGTGTCTGCTTCTGTACATCGCAGCGATGGAACATTCGTAATTTCAAAGTGTTGCTCCATCGCGACATCTCAGAGATGTCATGTCGCAGATATGTTTCCTTTGTATATCGTAGCCATGAAACATTCGTAATATCTCAGTGTTGCCTCATCGCAACATCTCAGAAAAGTCATGTCGCAGATATGTTTACGTTTGTACATCGCTGCAATGGAACATTCGTAATATCTCAGTTTTGCCTAATCGCGACATCTCTAAGATGTCCTGTCGCAGATGTGTTTACTGCTGTTCATCGCAGCGATGGAACATTCATAATATCGCAGTGTTGCCTCATCGAGACATCTCAGAGATGTCATGTTGAAGATGTGTTTGCATATGAACGTCGCAGCGATGGATCGTTTGTGATATCGCACTGTTACCTAAACGCAACATCTCAGAGATGCAATGTCACAGATGTGTTGGCTGGGGAGTATGCACTTTTGAACATGTTTGGTGCAACAAATAGGCAGCTCCAACTTTTTTTGCTCTTTGTCTCGAATATTCCCTAACAACACCAGTACATCCTAGGGACGTCCCTGATATTATACTAGGACATCCCAGGGATGTCCTTTGTCGGGACAACGTACATACTAGGGATGTCCCAGGGACATCCGCTGGCCACAAAAAAAGGCATCCAAGGGATGTCCTTCTGTTACGTCCCTGGGATGTACCAAGTACGATGAAATGATATCCCTAGGACGTCCCAAGAATATCCCAGGGACATCCTTTCGACAAAAGAAAAAAGTTGTAGGTCGAGTAGGGATTTTACCCGGGACCTTTGGCTTATCATGCACGAACCTTGCTCCATTGGCTATCATGCCTCCTGAAGATTTAGGTACTAAACAGATTTATAAACAGGACTTGACTACAGAAACCTGAATAAATACAACTTTGTAAGGAATTGGGTATAATTATTATCATTCTTGGGTGTTTGAAAATAAGGGGCATTATGCATGTACGATTTCTGTCTGCGAAAAATGGTAATTTCTTAAGAAGTTCTGATTCTTTATTTTCATTAAAATCATTTTCCGGAAGAAAAATAAACATTTTCAAAAAAATTCAACTCAATAGTTTGATGAAATTCAATGACTCTGATGTGAATGGATATCAGATACTCCAGGGACACGAATAGGATAACCTAGGGATGTACCGGGCGGGATGTCAACTGGACAACCACTGCAGGATATTCCCTGGATGTCCCAATCATGTCCTTGTACCGCGGGACAAAAAAGCGATGTACCTTGGACATCCCTGTGTTGTTAGGGTTATCATATTCAGTTTTCAGATTTAAGAAATAAATAGCTTCTCTCCCGGGGTATATAAATGCTTTTTTTGTTATTGTTCACCGAAAGCCGAATCCACGAGGAGGTTCAAGTTTTTCATTTCAGGGCACTATCATGGAGCATTTGCAGCCAAACAATGTTATTGGTATGAAGGGAATAGGACGTCCTTTCGAAGCTTGTGACCTTTTGAGGTTGGCATATGGAAAGTGCAGCCTAATATCGTTATTAGGATTAAGAAAATGAGATGTCCTTAGGTGATTGGCTATATGGGATATCTCCTAGCTCAGGTTTGTAGAATGTCGGTTTTAAATAGAACACCCTGTATTGACTCTCATACACTCATTGCAGCCAACTCCAATAACTTTTAGTTTCTGCAATTCTAGATGCCCTCATTTCCCCTATGTTGAGAAAGAGTTGATGGCGAGGGAACTAGGAAATCTATTGACCTATCGGCTGAATAATAGTCATGGGCGGCGCCTTAGGGACTCAAGTTTTTTTCATACCTAGTCAAGTGTGAATGATGTGATTTTATGACATAACATATTCATATTACGTTCGTTACAATGATTTGTAGTATGGATTGAAGTATTAATGGCAACAATTCTATTTTCGTATTAATTGTCTTTTTTTCAGTCCAGTCTAGGTAGCCTACCTCACAAAAAGCATACTATAGCACCATTGATAACAATATAAATATACTACATTATATATTATTATTAGTATAATTTTTGTATCTAGTGCGCGAAATGCTCCTGTGGTGATCGAGAAAAGATTTTTGTCAACGAGCCGTACCCGGTGTCAATAAAACAGTGTATAATTATTATTCACCCAGAAACGAGTTCAGAAATTAAAAAGATATCATGTTTTTTTTTAATTTCCTACCTTTTTCTACCTCCCAGATAGCACAATGTCATTCATATAACGTTCATTGGATATTCTTCGTGAATATTTGAATATTCTCACAACATGGAAATATTCTAGGGATGTTTTATGATTATTCGGAATGAACGATTTCAAATATTCTGAGAATATTCCTAGTATATTGGAGGAAAAAGAAGGAAATTAAAAAAAGATTGCTTCGGTAGAGATGCGAATTTACTATCTTGTGTTTGAATTTTTACGAACCTGAAACTTTAACTTTAAAATTATCGACGTGAAATTTTAAGTTTTAACAGAAGGGACACCTGCGTTGTAGGCATCTTTATCATCAAATATCTGATGTCACTTCTGTCAGTCTGATTCTGTGATTTGATTACAAAAAAATGCGAATTTAGTCGTGGTTGTTTAGTAATATAACGTAACCGCGAAGTCGAATGGAAGATGAAAGGACTTGCAGTTCTTTCTCGGAGACGGTATTATTGGCTTATTTTTCGGAACTATATAGCACAAGAAAAGCCATCAACAGTGTATATATATATATGTGATATATATCCGGGAAGAAAGTATTCACTTTTTTCCCACGGGAAAAAAGTAATTAATGAAAAGTGACATTTTATAACCTGCCAACAGAGATGAAA